ACTTGGACGATGCCTTAACGATAGGCTCCGTGAACACAACAACGACAGCATCAGAGCTAACTCTGGCCGCCTGGGCATACACTGCCGCGATTGTGGGTGCGAGGTTCACTTGCCATCTTGTACAATTTTAGGTAGGCGCAGTAATCAATTAACGAGAGAAATTATAGAAGCCGAACACAGAGTCAGAAATTATGAGAACTGTATCAATATACCAACTTTGAATCTGACAAAAAAAGAAAAAACATTTTCTAGGCTTCTAGGAAATTGATAAGCGTGATTTGGGAAATTTGGTAGTTCCAGACATAGAAGAAAACAAAGCATATAAAAACGAGTTGTCAGTCAGCGCGGTTCGTTTGAATTTGCCCTTTCTTTTTCATGTGTAAGGAATGAGTGTACATTTGCTGTAGTGCGCTGTAGTGTGTGTTAATCTGAGTAAGGGTTTTCACCTATCTGCCTAGCCCCGCACACTACCACATGGGCACCTTCCAGTACGTGCAAATAAATTATTATTATTATTATTATTATTACTATTATTACTATTATTACCATTATTACTATTATTATAACCATCCTGTTTTCGGCTCACAAGTAGTTTGTGCCAAAACAATATTGCTTTTTAGTTCGCGTTATTTCGGGATTTTCCATGTATCTGCATAAAACCAAAATCAGAACTATACACGCCCGACGTTGCACATTCAATATTCCTAACTCTTCCCATCTTTCTAAACGTCTGTGTGTGTCCTAACATCAGGAACCGGCATTTTAGAGGTTAAAGACGGCACGTTGCGGATATGGGACGCACACTTTCATGCAAAGCTGACGTCAAGTGACTCATATCGAAAAGCATGCATATTTACAATATTGTCACCTCTTCTGGTGAAGGGTCAGCAACTGGTGCATTCGTTTTCACGCACAAAATGGTGACTCCCAGAGAAAGTAAAAACGCAGTGTTATTGCATTTGCCTTTACACCACACACACACTTGCAGGCTTGTGCTGATGAGGCCTCAAAATTTAAACTCTCGTGGCGCGATTCGTGACTGAACCGGCTACTACCCAACCTCGTTGTCACGCCATAATCTTCAAGCAGACACTAAAATTGCTAGTAAACACTAAAAGCGACACCGACACAACTATCTTGTACAATCTCATCTTATTATTAATAATAACTGTGTCAATACGCACTACCTGTTGTATTTAAGTTAAGACAAAATTACAGCCTTTTTTTTTGTTAAAAAAACTAAAAACCAACGTTAAGTCTGCTATCAGTGAATCTTTTGCTGTGTCTTTGCCGAATCTTTAGAAAAGTTCGGCAAAAGTTTGGTTCGTCGAATTTTTGATTCGGCAAAAGTTCGGCCCATCGCTAGTAAAAATGTGCGACCAAGGGGGGGGGGGGGGGGTGGTACGTTCATAGGGTTTGCCCCCCCCCACTCAAGAACAGGTTGGTACGCCATTGTTGGGAGTTGTAAATGTCGTGGTGTGGTGACGATTCACGAAGGAAGAGAAGAAAAATGGGAACATACTTTATAGTTAGTCTATAAGGTGCTAAACTATATACGTTCACCCCTAAGCTGACGTAATTATGAAAGCCTCGTGCTAGAAGAAACCAATCCATTGCCTTTTATCGCTCGACTCCGCTTTCTGCCTGAGATTATGCACAGAGAGCGTGAATAAGGTTGTGCAAGGCCCACGGGTGTCTGGTCCGGTGAGGGCGTTCATCGCCCTGGCATCTTAATGGTAAACGAAATATAAATATATGATGTATAAAAAAAATATCGTGCGAAGGAAAGGGAGGGTAATCGGCGCTCGCGTATACAGCCGGCACGATCTTGTTTGATCACGCTTAACCGCAAGTTGGTGAATCTTGGGCTTAAAGTGACCGTGAATAGTTTCTTGAATTCGAGTTGCACGAGTGCATATTGTGTAACGCCACATAAACACGCACAGCATTTAACCAAAAACGCTGCAGCTGCTGCCACTGCTGCTGCAAACTTTCCAAGAGAAGGGCGAACTTTTGTGTATCTACTTCGGAAAGCTTTTAGTACTTTCGCCGTGATGCATCGACTGCGCGAAATGTACCTAGCCACGTCAGTCGAGTCCAACGCACGGATTGAATCTAAGCGTTCGAGCGCTGAGTCAGCACTCGGACTGCGCTCGGTAACAATCGATCCGTCGGAGGGTACTCATGCGCGCGCACGCGCACACACGCGCATGCACGCACGAGAACGCACATGCTGCAGATGCCCACACCCAGAGGCACACATATAGGTGAACAGACACAGAAAAACACGCAGCCACCTATACGCACGCACGCACAAACGACAACGCCCGCGCGCACACCCAGACACATGCGGAAAGGCATAAACACAAGCACATGCAGGCACACACACACGCCCGGGCACACACGCGAAACCGCAAGCACAGAAAAGCAAATACTCGTAAACGTACTTTTAAGATACGAAGTACACGCGACACTTAAGAAATCATCAGCAAGCAAAAGAAGTTAATGCTGGACATTACAGCATAGTTTATAAATAACAAAAATAATAAATAAAAGCAGTGTCTATGGGCAGTTCCGTTATAGCCGATTCACACGACGGACCAAATCGCGATTTTCGCCCGCGGATCGTGTACCACGTGACCGGCACGTCACCGATTCCTGCGATCCGCGCCTCCTCCGGGGAGGCGCGGACTGATAAAGTCGAGCGCCTTTTTCACTCGCGGAAGTTTGGCGGCAGACTGACTTGGAAAGCATTTAGTCTGGCAACGGTACATGGTTTTCTTGGTATTTTGCTTCTGTGCGTTCAAAACAAAAATGGCGCGTCGCTGCGTTTTGTGCGTTTGTTGGTTCATTTTGTCGTACGATTCTTGGTTCCACGCGTGAGAGAAACTCCGGCTGACGCGACGCAGGTTCCGGTGCTCCTCCGGGTCCGTGTCAAGAAGCTCTCGTCAAAACTAGTCTAGCACGCCGCGAGAATTCTTGCACGTCCAATCAGGATTTCACCGAGCAAGCCCTCTCTTGTGGATGTGGTGTGCTTGAGTGTTGTGCACGAGCGCGGAGTGTGTGAAGGCCTCTCCAAACGCCCCTCCGCGAGCCCAAAAGTTCGTCGCGTCTACGCCGACGCTTTCTCGGGCAGGATCATGCCTGTGTCACTGTCATGCTTTGGGTTAGTAAAGTTAGTGGCGCTTCGCGCGAAGCCTGTCCCGGTGTTTTGTTCTCGATCTGTACGTAGCAGCGGCGTACGATTCTTTATCGCGGTCGCAACCGTCAATTTCTCTCTAGGACAACGGTGCTACTGTGCGATGTTGGAGTTTCGCGGCACTGTGGGGTGCGAAGAGGTTCGATCCGTCCTCACTGGCGTCTGCTCGTCGTCTCCCTCGTGTGGATGCGCTTGGGAGACGGACGAACCGCGGATATGTCGTGACGTGATCAATCCGTCCGCGGATCAGTCCGTCGTGTGAATCGGCTATTAATGAGCTAATCTATAACGTTGATACGAACTGAACTAATGTGGCGATGCAGGCGAGTTGGTTATGCATGTTGAAAGTAGTGAAAGTGCACAATAAAGACGAATACGAACACGGAGAGGCAAACAGGACGAGCGCTGACTATCAACTGAAGTTTTTATTGAAAAAAATAGAAACAGCACAATAAAACCAGGAAAAGCCACAAATACTACAAATGTGACTAGTCACGTGTGGTGGCCGAGTCATTGATGACTAGTCACATTTGTAGTATTTGTGGCTTTTGCTGTTTTTTTTTGCTGTTTCTATTTTTTTTTTCAATAAAAAATTCAGTTGATAGTCAGCGCTCGTCCTGTTTGCCTCTCCGTCTTCGTATTCGTCTTTATTGTGCGCTTTCACTACTTTCAACACGTTGATACGAACTGAGCCAACCTGACGCCGAACGCCGGCGCAGTTTTTTAGTGTCAAATAAATGCGTGCCCAAACAATGGCGGACAAACAATGGCGCGCACTTTAAAAAAAGTGTCGTTCGTGCTGTGTTTGTGCTTAGACAGCCGGAAGGTCTAGTCGGCGTCCGGAGTCACTGCCTGAATGAGAAATCCGAGCAGTACACTAGAACCGCTATCCTGGTTTTTATTACGGGCATCACTCACTAGTGATTCACGACCGCCCGCCGGTGTACGATGCCCATCCAGATCGAAATGGACAGGGGTGAGAAATTAAGGCCAGGATCACTGGGTTCCGCAGCGCGAGCTTTTGTTGCTCCATGTGCTCCGAACTGCGGTGCGTTAGTATTGCTCGGCCATCGATTTACCCCTCCCGTCCTCCTCACACGCATGCAAGAAAAAAGAAACATGCGAAAATACAATTCCGCGGAAGATTGCCAGAAAGCTGAGTGCTTGATTAGAGGAGAAGAATCGTGCTTGTCACGGGGCACTAGGCTATTCCCAAACAAGCCTCGGACCACTCTGGCCACTCGCTTCTGGTTCCAGGGGCCCATCGAGTGGTTGTGCCTCAGTATTGTCTTTCGCACTTCTTAGAACAACTTACCCCAGGATGTCGAGGCCCCGCCGCTTCGCGTGAAGGGCGCGTTGCAGCGGAGACAACGTCCACGCCTTCGACGGAACTTTCTCTCCCGATTTTTTTTCCGATATTTCGTGTCTCGCTGCGATGAGACGAAATATTTCGACGCGTTCAGAATCACCGCGGCTTAATTTGCTCGCGGCCGTTCTGTGATTGATCCATCCTGTATTTGGATTTCTTAGATGTAAGACTTTTTGTTTATTTCTGCCTTTTATTGTAATTTAAGTGAATTCAACCTGAAACAAATACGTTTTTGATTTACAGAAAGATTGAAGCACTCCTCTCACACAAGTCGTTGACCCGTTGTTTATTGGTTCCTTTCGTGAAAACTGTGAAACTGCGTGTTGCGTTTGTTGTTTCACCATTCCATTCTTCTTGTAGAAAGAAAAAAATAGTTTTTTTTTTGTTCAGCATGTTTTTAAAGAATTTGAGGCAAGGTCAAAACGTATGTCTAAAAAGAAACAAACAAAAAAAAAAACAAAAGAAACACCGCAGCACGATGTTGGTTTTTTTTCCTTGTACGTCCTTGGTGCGGCACCCAGAAGACTCGCTTGGCTGTAAACACGCAGTGCTTAGCGTGGAATAAAGCGAAGTTTCTGCGTCTCGGGAACGATGACTCCTGCACCTTTGGTTGCAAGGTCGACTACTTGTCCTTCCTCAGGGAGCACGCTGTACTTTTGCAGCAGCGTAGTGATGTTGAGGAAGACTTCGACTGTAGCCAACGTCTCGCCCGGGCACATTCTTTTGCCTGGAATACGAGCAAAGCGGAAATGTGTCAATAATATAATTTTCTACAACTTAAAAAATAAAGGTTAAGATGCAATGTCTTCCTAATAAAATGTAACCGGCAAAAAAAAAAAAAAAAAAAACCAAGCTGGAGCAAAGTAGTTTAGACCGGATATAAAAAGAAGACTATGCGCGGAGATGGTGTGGTCTCTAAAGGAACCCTCATACACCCAAAAATGTTAATTTTTTAGGCGATTTAATATGGTGTGAGGAGACTACCCCATCAATAGTTTGCTACAGGGTCGCGTATATTTTTAATAAAGCCAAAAAACTAAACTGCTCGAAACCGAAAGACGAGCACAGAAGCTCATGGCCGGAAGTCACGTGGCTACATCCGACAGTAGCCGCATTCAATTTACCTGCACCTGCTGCACCGGTGATGAAAAGTGTAGGGCGGTGCACTTCCAGTCGTAACTCAGTACACATACCGGAAGTACATTGCCCTATACTTTTCTGCACCGGTGGAGGTAAATCGATCGCAGCTAGTATTTTCTCCGCTTCTCCGGCGTGTGAAGACGACGACGAAGTTGCGTGCACTTTTTGTCGTGCGATTGTTTCGCACTTATATCCCCTTCGCTTGATGTTCTGCGCTTGGAGAACGATTGACCAGTACCACGAACGACAGTTCCGAAGTAGCGGCCCACGCCCGTCGGAACGGTGGTCCGTCGTGCACCGCCATCGCGTCGTTCAGCCCGTGGGACGTCATCATATCCAGAATGACCTGTACGTGTACTCCCTGTGATCTTTGCAAAATGTTTTTCATTCAACGTATCTGCAACTTTTTGGAGGCTACACAAATTGGGTTCATATCCTTATATATTTCTAGTATTGAATGTGTGCCTTAGATGACCGTCGCCTTTGAATATATTTGGTACACATAGTCTGAACGCCACGTGACCATGCGAAAGGGAGTGAGCGCGACTGAATTCTCGACCGGCTTTTTTCGTGGGGAAAGAAAACGAATTGCGAGCCGCAAATTATATTCTATGTAATTTGACGCTTATAGGTCATGCTCAAAGAAAACCTTCGTCAAGTATAAACACTCAGTGTCCCTTTAAGTATGATTGGAGTGAGGTTGGAATTAACTGCCATTATTCCTTATTGTGGATTCCTAGCAGTCCGTTTTAAAAATTAGCACGCCGGAGTCGCTCAATCTGACATTTGGCCGTTTTGGCTAAAAAGTAGGCTAATATTTTAGCCAAACGCAGCTAGCAAACAGGGCTATAAAAAGTTAGAATCAGTCACAATGATTTCTGTGACATTGTGTTGTTTCTTTTAGCTTAGGAAGACCGTATATTCTATCCACAATAATGTAGGTTTGCTAGGCACGACCCAACGAACAATAGTCAGTAATAAAAACTGCCCTGCCAAACGCCAAAATATTCAACTCAACAGGAGTTAGGATGACCAAAGTTGTAGACGTAGGAAAGCATTAATTCCGGAAAACAAACTTTCCTACATTTCCTAAAATAGGATAAAGCAAAACTTCTTTGAATTGTCGAGGTGGCATATACCTAACGCTATCAAGTTAGGCCTGAGAACAAGGATCATGGTGCTTGCGCAGAAACGTCAACGAAAATTGCGTGGGAGCTTACGGAAACAAAGATAATGATTTTTTGAATGGTTGTAATGGATTATTTGCAGCATAGGTTCAATTATTAGCTTGATCAGATAAACCGGTAAACGGCGCGAGCGCTGCGTTTATAGGGGGTGTTGTACGTTTAGTTTTGTTTTTGTCCCTCCACTGGTGAAATCGCAGTGGCAGCTGCGGCTCAGCAGAAGAATGACTACATTCTTAAAGTATGCAAGGTCCCAGGCAAATCTACCGGTACAAAGTGTTAAACCTCTGCGCAAGATCGCGAGCTAATTCGCCGATTCTTTAAAATAATTCGTTCTGAAGACCTTTAATGTACCTGTCTGACAGCGGTATTAAAGTGTGAGGCGAAAAACACATACGGATACACACGCGAATGCAAGAAAATAGTCAGAAAGTCACGCCAGCCGCACGTGGGACCATCAGACGCACTGCGTATAGGAGCTTGCCCAGCTCATTGTTCTTCGATTGATAGCTGGTCGTTGACAATAGCGCGAGTTGGGAACGACGTCGATGAGCGTTATCATCCTGCACACAATGCGACATCAGTTATCCCTATTTTATCTAGAAAATAACACCTACCTAGGAATTCGCCCACTTCGTAATAATGGCCATCAACAGATCGGGATAAAACATCAACTTTTGACGCCATTCTTTGATTCGTTTGTGCTTTGGTACATCTGAGAGGTTGATTTGAGCGTAGCTTTTGTGGAGGGTGTCCCGTAGCGTCTGGTTCAGACTCAGCATGAACCTGCGTTTTAAACTTTGACAATGATTCTACCATCAAGGCATAAATTGGTGAAGGCACGCTGATATTGTATTTCGGAAAATTACACCGATGGCTTTAACGAGCCTCTTGGTGTTTATCGGTAAAAAAACCAATACATGAAAGAGAGATGTGCTTATCTTAGCTATTATATAATATACGCTTTGACTTCCTAATATTTTTCGAACCTCACCACCAGCTACGGCGAGGATCCGCTACGGTCGTCGAAGCATTCGTCAAAGATGATACACCTAATTTGAGAACGACTGAACGTGACCCTCATGATGGTGGAATCGACGAAATTCAAGACCCTTGTTAATCTTCTTTTGTCCACCTAAAGTAAGACTTAACCGTTTGGATTATGCGACCACGCGACACCTGGAAGCGCGCGCGAAGGTGCTGAACACATGAGCCACGATCTTGCGTTAATAGTACCGTAACTCTATCCAGTGGTACATTGTGCAATTGTGTATACTGAATCTTCTGCACATCACTCCGTTGAGTTGGACGAACTTCTACAATTATAGCAATTTATTTAGAATACAGCCGAGGACATCTAAATCCACATGGAAAAGTGCAGAATAGTTCGTGCTTCGAATAAGGACTTGTTGGTTTGAATATCTGCGAAGAATCAAGAACTTCAAGGAGAAGAAAAGCTCTGGCCAATACTCACCGACTGAAAAGGGCATCAGGGATTCTGGTTTTGGCCCCAACTCCGTGCCGTCTTTCGTTAAGAATCGGGAAGGGTCAAAGGTCTGCGGGTCCTTCCATAGCTTGGGGTCCATGTGAACTGTCCACAGGTTGGCCAACACCATGCTTCCCTTTGGAATGAAGTACTCTCCATAGAAGACGTCTTCCGATGCACTAGCAATAAAAAGAACACTGTACAGCTCCGAAGTCCCCGCTGTTCAAGAGCGATCATCTTTCCTATTTTTGTAAAGGGCAAAAGAATAAAAGATGTATATAGAACTGAGAGCTATGCTGTAATCAGTTGTACGCGTTTCCGTAAAAAAAGTAACAAAATACGTTACTCGGTACTTGCAAATTAAAGGAACGTGTTACGGCATTGATTACCTCAGAATATAAGGAACACCTTACCGTTCCCGATGAACAAAATAAAGGCACGTTACTTTTGCGTTACTTTTTATTTATAAATTGACGGTAACAGCGTTCTTTTTTGCGGCAGCGTTTTTCGACACTGGGACAAATAGCGTTGACATGGGTATTTTTTTAAGGTGGGACTTTTTGCGTTGGGAAAAGACGGGCAAAGTTTCGAAGGTATGTTAAATGAGCGTAACAATTAATGACTTGGCGCGTATACTTTGTCTCAGGTTAAGTTCAGACAATCGCCGCCACGAGCTAATCGAATAAATCAGGGAGCGTCAAAAGTATAGGTCACTGGGCCTTGAACACGTACAGTGCCCCTCAAACTTAACGCCGCCACTCGGTTACGCAAATATTGATCTATTGCATGCCACCCAAAGATGAATTGGTCGCCGCAGCTGTTGGAATACCTTTCCCTGGTTGGGTTTTCTTAAGGGACGGAAATCTTCCCCAACTTGTTCGACCGCTAGGCTCAGCAATAGCTCAATAAGTGAAGAAACCGGACCATCTCGAGGCGTTGTTAAGTTTGGGGCGCACCGTACAAAAACATGATAGTTGCGGAATTCTTGGGGATCCTGGGTACAATCCCGACCCCTGCCCATTTCGATCTGGATGAGCATCGATCTGGATGAGCATGCATGTTAAACTCGCCAGTCTAAAGGCCCGTTCACACTCTTGCGACCGAGTACGACTCAGAGAGACGAGATCTCTTAAAACTTCTTAAATGTTTTGAGAATGAGGGAACACACTGGCATTGTGGCGCCATCTATGCGGTGACCCTGGAACTGCATTTCACAAGAGCGAAGGTTTTGCGGGATTTCCGATGTGAAATGTGCATATTACTCATAGAAAGGCTCGTTTATAACATTGACAAAAGTTTTTCGAGCCAAGAAAGAAAGGATAAATCGCGAGAAATAAAAAAAAAATATGCCGGTCCGCCGAGTTTACACTGCTTCCCTATAGACGGCGCCAGTGTGTTCTCTGGTTTAAGAAGTTTTAAAGACCCGTTCACACTCTTGCGACCGAGTACGACAGAGAGACGAGATCCCTTAAAACTTCTTAAATGTTTTTAGAATGAGGGAACACACTGGGCATTGTGGCGCCATCTATGCGGTGACCCAGGAACTGCATTTCACAAGAGCGAAGGTTTTGCGGGATTTTCAAGGTCAAATGTGCGTAACACCCATAGAAAGGCTCGTTTATAACACTGACAAAAGTTTTTCGAGCCAAGAAAGAAAGGATAATGCGCGAGAAATAAAAAAAATATGCCGGACCGCCGAGTTTACACTGCTTCCCAATAGATGGCGCCAGTATGTTCTCTGGTTTAAGAAGTTTTAAGGAACCCAGGTTTAAGAGGTCGTAAGAGTGTGAACGGGCCTTAACGGTTGTACCACACTGGCTAAATTGATCACCTACAGCTCAGAGACATGTCGCTCACTAAGCCAAGGCAGACTAACTCCCGGCTGTATAGACATGCACACAAATTTTTGTTTTCACAGAAACATGACGAACACCATGATAGGGTTCTTTTAACGCTATCAGATTGGTCCTATCGGCAAGTAGCGCGGGTTGCGTCTGTAACTAAAATAAAACGAAGTATCGAAAGACGATAAAAATTTAAGTGTACTTTTTTTAGGTCCTGGGAAGAGGTACAACAAGTAACGTGACTACGTTACTTGAAATAAGTATAGTACGTAAACCGTTTCTCTTTTGAAAAAGTAACGGGTACGTTACTAATTTACCATAAAAATTAACGCGTTATCGGTAAAGCCGTTACTTGTAAAGCGTTGACAAAACACGGCCTGTGTTGAATGCCTCGAAAATACTTGCATGGAAGCTATAAATGCCAACGAAGAGGGCCGCTGAGCTTCATTCACGTTTGCAACTTTTGTAATTTTATGTCGAAAATGATAATTACTGTTGCAAGGTTTCATCATATTGGCATATATACGGTCTAATATCAGGCCCACACTGTGCACATTTTTAGATTCAGTCACCCCGCCATGACGAACAATGTGCCAGAAAACCTAATATTACGAAACTTCAGAGGCATTATTACCATATTCTCTAGATTTGTTTCCTGGAATTGGACAATTTCTCATCCATCTGTTTTGGATAAGGACTGGACTGACATTCTAAAGAAAATTAACTCCTGATTTTCTATTTAGTTCAAAGTCTTTTAATCCACACCTGATTTTGTGTGCACGTGGTGATATTAGATTTTCTGTATTTAATTTTTTTGGACTTTCTTTCACACTCGCACATAATTTGTGGCCGCTTCGAGAAGCGCAGTGTCTAGTTCTAGACGAAAATGTGTCTTGTCAGATGGACGCAAAGCCACAACAGAGCAACACTAAAAAGAACTGGCAATACGGAAGGGGTAAACACAGCTAGGTTGAGGTATACACCAAGCGTTTCCAATATACGCCACATTTTTTAATACAATCGTACATTATGAATTATCACCCCAGAGAGGTGCTTAGGAATATAACATATGCGTGTAATTCTTTATATTGCTTGATATAAGAAATGACGATAATGAAGAATGAAAGTGAGAAAAATATATAAGTACTAAAACATCAGTAGAACATGTTAACTTTCCAAATATTGTTTTGTTACGAAACAGTTCTCCGCACAACGTAAAATAAATTATCACGAAAATACGATTACAGCTTCCGAAATGTTTTAAATAACAAAAAGACCTGTTTTTTTTTTACACCCTGATCTTTAGCTTGAGGTAAGTTCTTGCATGAGAGCGTGTGTATGGGAGTATCTGTGGAGGCGCAGCCATTGAGTCGTGCAGCCTGACAACGACCTGTCGATTAGATGTCTGCTCTTGTCAGTTCTTTTTCAGCCAATGACTTCGCCCGAAGAGAACAGCTGCGGAGAAGCAATCGGTTAAGGCAGCAAAAGGAACGTGGGCTCAACTCTTTACATCGTTCATCAACATCAGAAAGCGGACGTTTCAGATGTCGTGCCGAGCTTCTTACTTCACCATGTCACGTCTGGCGGCTGAAAAGACGCGATTCTATGGTTTGCCAAACTAAAACTTGCTTTCCTTTCTACGAGGGTGATTCAATAAATAAGGTGAATATTTTTGTATAAGGACTTCTAATACAGATAGAAGCTTACTTTTTTTTTTCTACGTAGTCTCTTAGAACTGTCACACACTTTTCCCATCTATGCACAAGCTTCCTTATTCCCTCAGCGTAAAAATCTTTAGACTGATGTCTCAGCCAGTCGCCCAGCACTTTTGACTTCATCGTCACTTTCAAACTTCGTGCCTCTCGTGAACGCTTTCAAGGGACCAAACGGGTGAAAGTCCGAAGGGGCAAGGTCTGGGCTATAAGGGGGATGAGGGAGCAGTTCCCAGCCGAGCTCGTTGATGGTCTGCATTGTTAAGGCTGCTGTGTGAGGCCTTGCGTTGTCATGATGCAAGATGACTCCTTTTGACTGATGACCTCTGTGTTTGTTCTTCATGTCTTTCTTGACCTGCTTCAGCAGTTCACAGTAGTTGGCACTGTTCACAGTGCTTCCTTTTTCAAGGAATGAAATGGTGATTGGGCCTTGCATATCCCAAAAAACGGTGAGCATCACCTTCCTAGTGGACCGCTGGGACTTGAACTTCTTCTTCACTGGAGAGCCTGCGTGCTTCCACTCCATGGGCTGTCGTTTAGACTCAGGCTCATAGTGCCAAACCCATGTCTCGTCAGATGTGACCACCTTCTGCAGAAACTCATCACCATCCTTCTCATAGCGGGAAAGACACTGCTGGGACAACTCGACCCTCCTCTGTTTGTGCTCCGCAGTAAGCATCTTTGGCACCCACCTGCTGCTGACCTTCGAGTAGCCAAGGCCATCATGGACAACTGTGTGTGCTGTCCCCACAGATAAGCTCAAAGTCCTTGCAATGCCATCCACTGTCACCCTTCTGTCAGACTGAATGAGGTCATTGACTGATTCGATCACCTCAGGAGATCTCACTTCTGTAGGCCTCCCAGGCCTGTCTTCATCCTCAACACTGCTCCGCCCTTCTTTAAACAATTTAGCCCACTTGTAGACATTTTTCTGGCTGAAACATGTGGCACCATACACAGTTGACATTCTCCTATGAATTTCAACAGGTTTGCACCCTTCAGCAACCAAAAATTTGATAACTGACCGCTGTTCAATCCTGGAGCATGCTTCTTGGTCAGTCATCTTTGTTACTCGGTTAAATTCTCACAGTGTTGTTTGTAATCTGCATAAGAAATTAAATCCACGTGGAAAAGTAGCAAAGCAATAAAAATATCTAAAAAGTAAGCTTCTATGTGTATTAGAAGTCTTTATACAAAAAAATTCACCTTATTTATTGAATCACCCTCGTATATACAAGATTGTGTTACGAATAGAGCTCTGTGCCGAGCAAGGACCTGATTACATTAGTCGTAGTCTCAAACTACGTTCAATATGTTGGGACTTCACAAACAAGTTGGTAATTCCTTCTGTGTCCGACTATGGTTCTCAGTGCATAATAAACCAAACTGCAGTTCAAAACGGCCAAGTTTTCTAAATGTTCTCAAAAACATAATAAGAGAAAACTTATATTGGAGCATTTTGAACCTGTGTTTCTCGTCGAATTTATGCTTATCGATATACTTTTTGGTCACATGACTGCCCTGTTCTCCGTCTGACTTTCTCTAAGACTAAACTTTTTCCCTTTTGTGTTACGAGTGACTGGGGAAATCAGGAAACCTCAGCGCTTCCAATTGTTTTGAATACAAACAATTAACGAACAGTACTTGAACGAATCTTCAAAAGGGGCTTCTTGGCGGTAGGTACACTAAATACAGAAAGTTTCGGGCATGCCTGCCGTGCTTTCCTACTGGTGTATCGTTCAAAATATGCAAATAGGATTGAGGGCAAAATAAAACCATTGTAAGTGACGCCAAACTGCGTGAAATTTACTATATAAATTATTACATTAACTGAAATACTGGAGACATTTAGATGATAAAACAGTATCTAGTTTTTTTTAAAATTCTGTTACGACCCGTTCGTAAGCTGATTGAGTAAATTTTTCTGTCACAATGACCAAATGTGATCGAAGCGCGCCAGTGACACGGTAAAAGAGGAAACTGGCAAAACAGGCCAACATTTTCTGTGCTACTTTATGATTAAAGTTGAATAGGAGGTCGATTCAGATCGGCAACTGAACAGTACTAGGGGATCTGAACATATTTAAAGACGTTTAGTGTTTCTAGAGATATGATGAACTCATAAGGTATCTGCTGTTCAAAAAAAAGAACACATAAAAGTGGTGTTCCGGATGTTATTCATATGCTAAGCGTGAGATTAAGGCACGGAAAAGTGTTAGTGGTGCACCACACTTTGTACATCTGCTAGAACCTGCCTATCCGTAACGCAGTGGGTTTTATGAAGAGCAAAACAAGTTCATCCATGCTTTCTTTATATTGTCATGGATGGAAACGCTATCGTAGATTGTAAAACTTAAAACAAAGCTTTGATCGGCGAACAGAAAAGAGGAAGAACGAGCGTTGAGAAAGCAGCAGCGAGCGTCGCTGTGGCGGCGTAACAGCTGGCTAGCGTTGGGCTTCTTTTCTACTACACTCGGTAACTCTAACATTCATCTAGAGCAGTGGTCTAAACTCATTTGAGTGGGGGGGTCAGATAGCCCACACCAAAAAGGTCGAGGGCCAATGTGAGGGGCGGGGGGATTCAAAGACTTTAAGGGAATGGCCCACGTGGTCCGTGCATGTTATAAACTTAGTTTTGCCAGTCACATCTTTAGATTTGATTTGTTTATATGACTACTTTGGGCACTGAACTGATATAATGATAAAAATTGAAATGACACCGCCCTACTAACGTGTGAGCATTTTTAATAGAGCATGACAGCGAGTACACACTCGTTACGGTTGCTCAATTCCATCAGGATTTTAACAAAGCTCAATACGCCTCTAAATCAAGGATCAGTTAATTTAACATTTCTTGCTTTTCTGGCGATTTTTATTACAACTCTCTGAACAAATACCTGTTTCTTAATGGTGATATATTTTTGAAGGCGAGAATCTCAAGCTCGTAGCTCTATCTTTGACAGTTGTCCTGCTGACCGAGAGTTCGCGCAGCCGAGTTGCATTCTTCAAAGGAAAGATCGCGCTTGCAGCCTAGTTGCGGAATTGTTGTACATTACAAAATTCCGGGAAGAAAAAATAAAGCGAAACACAGGACAAGTGAACATAGGTAAGTATAAACTATGTGAATACGTTAAAAGAGCAGAGCTACTTTTTGAGCGAAAATGCATCGGCGAGATGAGATAACCGTGGCGCATGCCATTCTAGAGATGTGGGACCCGGGATTCGTAGCCATGTCCTGCGGGCCGCGTGCCTGCGAATCGAGGGCCTCGTGCGGCTCGCGGGCCGCGTGTTTAAGACCCCTGATCTAGAGTGGTCAGGCGTCGAATAGTCGGAAGACTGACTGGGCAAGGTCATGTTGGCCTCCTTATCTTTTTACACTCGGTACCTGGAACATTTGAATCGAACGTCAAATCATTTTGGGTAAGAGTAAAGGCGAATCTTCTAGAAGTACGGAGAAGCGTGTTTCTCGGCCATGCACGCGGTAATATCTGAAGTAAACTGTCATTTCATCCCCCCCAAAAAAGTCTTGAAAGTTGGTAAAGAAAAGTCTTATTTATTGGGACGTCGTCTATATTTCATGTTACGTAGCAAGATGTTACTAATTTTTCCCTAAAAGCTTATGATTCTTTTACATCCATTTTAATTTTCTCACAAACCGAATTAAGCGACGGCAGGGGTGGCAACCAATGTGACACTTTTTTTTTAACTCTACCGGATTGGGGGACATTGCAAGCTCCGCATACAGTAAAAAACAACAACAACAAGAACAACAGACATCTTGTAAACCCTGAGATGGGGAACGATAAAAAAACGGACGAACACAACAAAATCTCAATTGAGATTTCATTGTGTGTTCGTCCGTTTTTTTCGTCGATTGATTACCAGCTCGCCTGCACTCTCTCACTTCTTACAAGAACAACAAGAACATACGAATGAATTTTTGAGAACTTGAAACGAAAGCGTGTTATGTGAATATGTGAAAATGCTGATTAGAGGAGATTCATATTCTTTGCCTGCGAGATATTCAAAGAAACCCCGCGAACGGCTTACCCAGCCCCAACAAAACGAGTCTCCTGCCGTCAAGATAGCAGTGGGAGAGGGGGGAATGGAAAGTGTGGCGAGGGATATTTATCTATCGTGAGGAAAACTTTTTTGTAGGTCGGGTTTTAAGTAGTTCAAAATGAGGTAGAACAGGTGCTTTCAATACGCTGCTTTTGGCTACGTATAGTTGAACAGAAATGTCCAAGAAATAATATTGTTTCATTCGATTTCCAATGCTTTTTCACGAAGCGAACGTAATCAATGCATACGTTTCTGTGTTATGCGATAGGGTACATTTTGTATTCCTAGCGTAGCAGAGTTTGTGAACATATGTTTTCCTGTATCTCTGTGCGGAATGTATTCACTACAAATCGAAACATGTACTTTGATTGCTCTCCTCAAATAATGTCCCTTGGGCGATATAGGTTAACTTAAATGAGTAAATACATACCAAGCATAAAATTCAACTGATTTCTTTTGTCATTACTACATTTACGTGTTACCGCGTCACTGTATAGTCTATAGTATCATATAGGACATACCAAAAGTTCTGCGTTCCTTGCCGTATATCCTGCAAATGAAGTGTTGCGGCGATACCCAAGACGCTGCACACTACTGCTCAAAGTTACACTGCCGTTTTTAGATCGTTTGCTGACTTACCTACCACTATATTCAGTGGACGGTGTTTATGCGACAGTGGACGGTGTTTATGTGACAGTGTTTATGACAATATACCCTTTTTTCAAAAGTGCTCACCGTTTAGTAGCTGCGTCGTCTAATTTCCGAGTCCACTATTATTTGGGTCCGTACTGTGGACGTAAATTGGGCTCAAGGGCTGCATTTGGCGAGGACTTACACGCCCCGTGCCCCAGTATTGTCGACAACCAGTGTTACATGATACGACTTTTTAAAAAGCGCCTTATTGTTCCTTAATATCTTCGCGTAAATTGTCTTGTCCATTCAGTAGCAGAGAGTTTACTGCTGGTTAACACAATGTTTTCTATGTCTTTTATCTTGTAATTGTCTTACCATCTGCCTGAAATTATCGGGACAATATACTAAAACACTATAATAGGAAGTTTTCGTAAAGCGTTTCAATATCTCCGATGCCGATACCAGATATACTTCGTCAGCGCCTTTGCGCATGATTCGTATTGTTAGTTATCGGGTTCTCTATTGGAGTTATCGGAATGATCTAATAACAGTTCCTAAAAACGACTATTGCCGAAAATAATATAGAAACGTCTAGTGGCGCGGCGCGTTTTTCACTTGATGATTTGTGGGCGGATTCGCGCAAGCGGAATGTGGATTCTGGGGACGGGTGGCGAAATCGACCCGTCCCTGGCAGAAAATCTGGATGGGTCCGGGACCCATATCCAGATTTTCCGCCAGCGACGAGTCGATTTCGCCACCCGACTCCGAAATCCGCTTTCCGCTTGCGCGAATCCGCCCGCGAATAAGCAAGTGTAAACGCGCCATTTGTGTGCTTGATGTGTCTTACGCTCTGGGGATTCCTAGCGGAGCTATGGTTCTCCAGCGGTACATCTCCCAGATGGCTGCCATGGTGAAGGGCATCTTGTTGCGATCCTCCCACTTGGGCTGGCGTTCCCTGCCCACTACCTCGTCGATCTCGCGTTGAATCTTGGCCTGCACCGTGTCCGGGTACTTTGCGTAGGTCAGCAGGTGCCACATGATGGTCACCATCACCGTGTTGGAGCCGGCGCCGAAGAAGTTGAGGACGTTCCCGAAGAGGAAGCGTTCTGCGATTGGCAATATAGCAACGAGTCACTTTCGCGGTTATTATTGAAGCACATAAAAGTTCTATCTATACCCGTCGTCAACTATTTTGTGCTACATTGTCAAAACGCTTCAACGGTGCTGCAGCTCCGCACAGCTGCTGCCAGTGCAAAGAGCTTCGTCTTGCAATTCATTCGCAAGCGCATTAGCTTTGGGAGCGTCGGGGCACAATCAAATCTACGCTATAGCCTCGACAACGTGGCACGAAATAGTTGACGCCGAGTATAGACGGCTCTAGATATTTAGAGAGGTAGCGTTATAAGGATAGGCGTGTTTTGAAATCTGTTGGCCGTGTGGTGACACACATCAATAAAAAGTAACTGTACCAATAGCATGTCTAGGCAACCGGAAGGGTCAGCCCGAATAGGCGTCTGATGGTGTCTCCATTGTACAAGATGATACATTTAGCCGGGGATGTTCCGCTGCTCGCCTGGGGTCTTTAATTGTCATCACTCAATCGTGATTACACGAACAAGTACGATGCTCATTCATATCGAAACAGGCAGGGGGGGGGGGGGGGGGGGGATTGAACTAGGACCCCTGGGTTCTGCAGTGAGCACACATGTTCCACGTGCTCGGAGCCGCGGCTAATTGAAACGCTCTAGCAAAGATCAGCCTCAAATAAATGACACTTTTCATCAAAACGGGCACATAAGTTAAGAAAACAAAGTGAAGGTGCGGTAGTAATTACCCATTAAGATTGACCGGCATGTAAACTAGATGAGGCTGTGAAGTCGATCGTAGCATTTCTTTCTGGATAAGCAATATTAGCAATGAATTGCGAAACGACTTAAAGCCGTCATAATTAGCCTTTCCTTCCTGGCGTAGTTACCTTAATTTGATTTTTATACAACATAATTTTTTTCCTATAGAGTCCGTCAGCAGATAGAAGCCTTTTGCCTGATTCCCCTAAATATCTCTCGAAATCAAACCTGTCACTGTCATTAGGAAGAGTGAAGAGTTCATATTAACGTGCTAGAAATCGAACAAACCGGCATATTTCTGTTTTCTTAACCCTTTGACGGTTAAGTTCTTTTTGCCAAAACATGTTTCCCACAAGTCGGGTTTTGTTTCGAAGGAATAGTATTAATAAAAGGACATGGACATATAGTTTTTACATTATATAGCTGGAGTGCGTGCAGTGATTGAAAGCTGTTTGATTTAAAAGCATCAAATGAAAATATTGACGACAGAAAGTTGCCACCTTTCTTTCATTCGGTCCCATTTCGGTGCGTCCGCTTCCGCGACATTCCAACGGCTTCAGATTCCTAACCGAAGGTACTTTATTGAGCTTCTCCGCTGGACGATAAGCTCTCATCCTCGGAATCTAATTTCGAAAAGCGTCGGAAGTCTGAATCGGAAGAGCGAGTTCTTCCACTGGCACTACCACCAGAGCCGCCATTCTGCGAAGTGAGCGTCACTTGGGCGGAGCGTCGAAACTGAAATCTATAAATAGTCCAGCAAAGCGAAACACCGTGCAAATGTGACGTTTATAGTTCCCCAAACACATAGCAAATAAAAAGAAATCCCGCGGTGCGCGCATTAACGCCTTTAGGCGGACTCTTTCAAATCTGTAATCACAGCCGCCCATGTACGGCAACGGCCGTCAAGGGGAATACGAATGTAATTGAGGATCGCTTATAAACTAATTGATCTGTCTGCTGTGTACCAGTTTATAAATTTCTAAAGTGTGACCTGCAGCAATTTTACAATCACTCACAGCAAATTGCCTAGAATTGCAGAAAGTAAAAATGAAATGAATGCGTCAAATGTTTGAACCAAATAATGTGCCTAAACTTTTTTTTTTAACTGGAAAACGGTGTAAATTGTATCAAGCCCCAATCGAAGCAATGGTTTTGCCATGAAATGTCTCATTCACATTCCTAGGGTTCTAACTTTTACATAGGCGTTGCATGTAGAACCCTACCGGGTCCGCGGACAGGAGCCGCCACTAGCACCAACTACTGACGCAAAGGTGTTCGGGTCCCCCTCGTGAAATCTGTTTTAAGAGGTCAGCTGTCGAAAACCTACATGGCCAGGAAATTACACAAGATTCATCGTGTACACATCTCCGAGCATTTTGTACACCATCGTCCCCGCCGTTTCCCCTTGAAAAAGTTCTCCGAGATTTTAAGAGCCATTGTCGAAACGTAGTTTGGAAATACACATCCATGGTGAGCTGTTAAGAAAGTTTTGGACCCTTCAAAACAATCTTAATTCGTTCTAAATTTAATGCATGCACACTAATGAATAAGGTGTCTTGTCGCTCTTCCAGCTACTTATTTCTTATGTAATACACGAGGTTTGTTTTGCTTTTTAATGCCACAGAAATCGAGAAGAGTCACTCACTTTGAAAGCTGGAATCTGGGTCATTTTCGTGCTCTTTGATTTTCTTGATGTATCCGTCTATGAAGTCGCGATTGCTGTGCTCGTCGAGGGTCTCTTCATGCTCCTTCACCTCTTTGCTAGTATGCGCAATAAAAACAGAAAATGAGAATACATTGAGTTCCTACGGCAATATAAAATTTACCCGTTTGTGCAGCATTTCCCAAAAGTTAAAAGGCGCGCCTTCAAACTTTTTTTTGTATACCTTATGTCTTTCTTAGCAGTAGTCTGCCTTTCTACTCTACTTAACCGTCTTTCACACACAACACACTATTTTACGATCGACTTAAAGCATCTTGACGTGGGGCACTATATTTGCCGGTTTGAAAGCCCCCTTTCTTCGCTTTGAGCTAACTTATATTTTCAGACCGAGTAGCCTTCATTTACAGCCGATCCCAGAGCATATCCAAACGTATAAATACCTATTTCTCCAAGAAAAAAAATAGGCCTTGTACGACAACTGAGCCGAAAGGTTCCCAAGACGATCCATGAAACAATCTGCACAACAACTGCAGTACTCCGGAACACGACCGCGTTGCTAATAGGGCGGAAGAATGGCCCGCGTTTTTTTTAACGTTTTTTGTAATTTTATTACATTTATCTACATCCTTTTTGCAACTCAAAGCCAGGCATAGCCATCACACACACACACAGATTAGTGTCAGAAACAGGCTTCGATCTCATCAACAATGACATCGGCTACAACGGTCCTTTGGCGCTGCGAGGTAAGTTGCCAACTTGAAATCGTGCCTTTTCTTTTTACTGCATTGATTTAGACGTAGAAGCAAAACAGTTGTACCCAAACTACCGGGAAACATTAGAAAATTCAAGCGTCCCTGTGGTCCTGGAAAAAGACGGAAAATAAACAGACACGTAGCCTTCAAACTGGTTTTTAGTGTAATGTTCCGGAAATGGTTTGAGTGAGATAAACGGAATATATTAGACGCCGTTGTTACTTCGTTCATGTAGTCGGATATTGTTATATTGGGCAAAAAAATGGGATGCTTCACTGACTGCACCTCATAACTTCCTGAGGTATGCTGCCATCGTTGTGTATTAGGCTCTATCAATCAGGTCCATATGGCACGCAGAATAAGTATTTTGTGTAAAATACTGCACCCCACAGGAGTTCTAACGAAGCCACGACTAACAAAGTTTGAATGGGAGAAGCAAATTCGATCCTTCTATGTTAGAAACCAGGTTTTTTTGGTATATTGACGAACAGCTGAAGCTGCGCGTACTTAGCCAGTGTCCAATTGCATGACAACTATTTAGGGTTCTGCATTTTAAAACCCAATAGAGCAAACAACGTGAGCTTTTCAGTGTCGATATAAAAGACACTTTGTGCATTAGAAAAAAGAAAATATATTTGAAGTGAGTGCCATATTTATCTCCTCAAAAGCTGATCGTTTCGAGACCTCGCACAACTTCTTTTTAATATGGGAGTTCTCGACGAGGTGTCTAAATTACTGTATTTACTTTTTGGATTTCCGACGTCTTGTTAACCAACAGCCAATATTCACTGTACCTATTGAAACAAAATAAAACACTGTGTTAATTCTCACTGTTGTCGAAAAAATGGTGGCTTTCATCGCTGCTTCTCGTCATGGTTGACGCGCTTTGAAGAGGAGCTCTCCGAAAAAAAGTGTTATTCGTCATGTTTTTGATTGTAAGAGAGATGCCAAGAGCAGAATAAGTTGCCGAGTTCAAAAAAAAAAAATGAAAACGCTTTTTTGTATGGGAGTTAAATATTTCTGTTGTTCGGTGTTTTCTTAAAGTTTGCTCCTCAAAGTTTCGAAAAAAACGTAATGTATATATTGTGGGAACAGGTGTTCCCAGATGTGCTAGGTCTCCCTATCTAGACCTAGCACATGCAGACCACGGGGACGGCGGTGGCGGCGGCTTCCCAGATACAAGGCCAGGCCACATTCTTCGAAGAGGGAGGTGTCCCACTTGCCCTTCGGGCGAATCTGCTACTGGCGCACCATTCGGAGTGGGCGTGGACGCGATCCACATGCGGGCGAAGCCGCACCACCTACCCAGGGCGCGTCCATATCGCACAGGCTCTACAAGCCGGCCCTGAAACCCCTCGGGAGGTATGACGGTAGCCGGAGACTTTTGCTGGGGGAGGTTCTGGTCCTCGGAGTCTTTACTTTCTTTTTTCAGCTAACGCTTCCCACGAATGTACTAATACGGTAGCGTGGGCCCCTCCAGGTGAATCTGTCTGATACGACTGCGCCAACATCTTAGTCTTACTTTCTTTTTTTGTTGCCCGACGGGCGAAGCGTGGTGGCGTCATCGTCAGTAAAACACGTCATTCTACGGACTCGCAGACATCGTGTTTTTTTTTACGCGGTACTCCTCAGAGGGGAAACCTACAATATAGAGAACCATTAAATTGTTATTTTCTACTTCGTAGAAAAATATTTCATAAAATTGACAATTGTAATATTATTTTGTCGCTCTTTCTGCAATTTTCGCAGATTATTTTGGCATGAGCAATCAAAATGTGATTTGGCATGTCCTTAGCGTTCTAAGCGCACTTAAAGTTTTCTTTTTTTCAGAAACCCAATTAAAATATTTTAAGCTATTTGTCGCATTAAGAGAAATTTTAGTAACAATATATGCTTTAATATATAAATGTTCCTAAAAGAGTCTTTCCTTTCTCGATAAAGTTCACCAACACTTATTTTTCCGGAAATTAGCAAGTTTACTTCATGTTAAAACTTGTTTCTATTTCATGTCTTTTTTGCGTAAATATAACTTAATCTAGACTATACCAGACACGAAGTGACGAATTATATAAAACTCTAAAATTAAATTATCTTTTATTAGGTTTTGACGATAAAAAGTGAAAGCCGTTTACAACTTCCTGTAACGCCGAATTGGAGCGCAGCTCTTGAGGAGGAGGAGTGGAGGGTATATTCCTCCTCCTCCCTCGTGATCATGCCTGCTAGTCCTCCTCCCCTCCTGCTCCCCCTCCCTCTCCTTTACCACCTCCTCGTCCTTCAAGCTTCTCCCCTCCCCTCGCCTCCGCCTCCTCGTCTCTCCTCCCCCCCTTCTTCACCTTCGTACTGCTTTCCTCCTCGCCGCTGAAGTCATGTGACCCCCTCCCCCCGAGGTCACGTGACCCCCCCGAACCAGACAATGAGGGGAGGAGGAGGAGGGGGAGGAGGAGGAGGGCAGAGGTCCGGGGTGTCACGTGACCTCGAGGGGACGGGATCACATGACCTTGGGCGGGCCGTCACGTGACCGGCGGGGGGAGGGGAGTCACCCCCCGGGGTCACGTGACCTGGGCGGGGGAGGAGGGGGGAGGAGGAGGAGCGGGGGGGAGGAGGAGGGGGAGGGGCGACGCCGACGCCGACGCCCCACAGGCTGGAAACGGGTCATGTGACCCCCTCCCCCCGAGGTCACGTGACCCGCCCGGACCATACTACACAATGAGGGGAGGAGGAGAAGGAGGGGAAGAGGAGGAGGAGGGGAGGAGGAGGAGAGGGAGGGGCGCGGTTACGCCGACGCCGACGCCGACGGCGACGGCGACGCCGACGCCGACGCCAACGGCGACGGCGACGCCGACGCCAACGGCGACGCCGCTCAGGCTGGAAACGGGCCCCTAAGAGCTGCGCTCTAAAATACATATTACTTGTATTTATGTTTAGCCTATTTAATCTGAGCTAATCACAAATATTGCGAGGAAGATATTGGTGTATTGGTTGAACACACCTGTCTTTACGAGTCTTCTATATTGCGAACCCTAAATTTTAGATGTTCCCGTCACCTAAAAAATAAAAAAAACGTAAAAAAAAGTGAAAGCCGCTTACAACTCCCTGTAACGCCGAATTAGAGTGCAGCTCTTGAGGAGGAGGGGGGAAGGGTACTGGGGGGGGGGGGTGAAGTGAACCTGGGGGGTCACGTGACCTTGGGGGATCACGTGACCTTGAGGGGTCACGTGACGATGCCGATGGTGTCATTGTGACGTCCCTGATGACATCATCAGTGACGATGACGATGCGGACTCCGATGACGTCATCAGCGATGATGACGATGACGATGCAGATGTCGGTGACGTCATCAGCGATGACGATGACGATGCGGATGCCGGTGAGGTCATCAGTGACGTCACTGATGACGTCATCAGTGATGATGACGATGACGATGCGGATGCCGGTGACGTCATCTGGGAGGTCACATGACCTCGGCGGGGGTCACGTGACCCTGGGGGTGGTCATGTGACCTCGGGGGGTGTCACGTGACTTCGAGGGGTCACGTGACCTCAGGATGGGTCACGTGACCTCGGGGGTCACGTGACCTCAGGGGGTCACGTGACCTCGGTGTGTGTCACGTGACCTCAGGGGGTCACGTGACCTCGGTGTGTGTCACGTGACCTCAGGGGGTCACGTGACCTCGGGGGTCACGTGACCTCGGGGGTCACGTGACCTCTGGGGAGGGGTCACGTGACCTTGGGGTGACCTTGGGGGTCACGTGACCTTTGGATGACCTTGGGGGTCGCGTGACCTTGGGGTGACCTTGGAGTGACCTAGGTTACGCCGACGCCGACGCCGCTCAAGCCGGGAACGGGCCCCTAAGAGCTGCGCTCTAAAAAACAACTCCGGTGGAACATTACATTTTATTTGTTCAACCTATGCTTAAGGTTCTGTGGTAGAAATATCTGTATAGAAGGTTAGTCAGTAAATAACTTCCTAAAATCAGTGAAATTTGGTTGCTTTCCTAACAAAATATTACGCTCAACAAAATGATAGGCCTCTTCAATATAAGAATCAGGTCTACTGCCCACAACTAACGCTCCAAATTACCACCTGAAAACATTTGGTCATCAGGAACTTGTTACAATCCGAGGTAAAATAGAAACTGGAGGGCTCTATTTTAGTCTTCGCACCGCATTTGCATCGTTCTAGAAACTTAACGCCCGTTACCGCATACAAATTCGGTAAAAGAACAAATGCTACATTACCTTACAAAATCACTGAGCTCACGGAAGATGTTCTTGAAGGAGCTGACTGCGAGGAATGGGATCCGTAGTGCGAGTGTGTTGAGCCAACCAGGCAAAAAAGTTACAATCATGCTGGAGCTTAGTGCACGAAGAGCACTGCTCAACTGCGCGTCCAGAAATTTGCGCTTGGGGTCGTCGAAGAGGTATCGGCTTCCGAACACCAGAGCGGAAATGTTGTTGGACATGCTGGGAACGAGGTACTCTTGTATTGAAATTAGAGAGCCTTTGCTCTCTGCGATCTTTTCAGTCAAGTACGAAGACTCCTCCTGTGGAAGAAAAAGTGTAAAGTAACTAGATTACTTTTTTGCGAAATACTACCGTGGAATACAATCCAAAGTTGACCTTTTAGTTCAACATTTTGTTACCAAGAGGTACTTAGTAGTAACAAGAGAAAGTATGTATGTTTTTGGGGTTTTTGGTTTGGGTTTTTAGGCGCAGATCTATCTGCCGCGGAAACGGCTGAAGATTTGCTGGGATGGTAGTTTGAGATAGGTAGCACTAAACTCAAGACAAGCGCTCATTTTATTTCAGCAAAACGCATTGGTTGTGTCGTTTTTCAAAAGCAGCAGTTTCAAGTCACTTATGTCAGGGTAATTTACACATGTCCAACTTCATTCTTAATAAACCGTTCTTCACATGGTTTGCGTTGGATTTTATCTTTCAGTAGAGGGGCGTAATTTTTAATTCATAATCGACAGCTCCAATTCCCCATCCTAAGGAACAAGGAAATACAAAAATTGTAATGAAATTGCCAACATTTGATTTTTCTTCCGTAGTGCTTGTAATCGCTACTCCGGTAATTCTTTCTACCTACTGCAACTAAATATATACTTCCTGAATCCCCGACCTTTTCCTTTCCAGTATGCGTTTAGTATGGCGAAATTTATAATAGTTATTGCAAAATCTGTAACTAAAATTTCCTCAACACCAGCAAACAAATATACCCGCGCTTTTGAGTTTATGACGTCAGTGGCAGGCAGTCTTGCACGCCAAACAGCTCTAGAAAAGGGAATACGCTTAGCATTTGTTACGTGCTCCTGATTGGTTGCTGGGGCGTGCTTCCAAAACATTAATTTGGCACCTGCCACTCGCGTCATTTTCATTGTTGTCAGTACAGAATTTTACTGTAATAAAGACAGTGAGGATCAAATTGTAAATTCAATAACTTCGCCCAAAAATATTTGGGCCTAATATTTGGTTTACCATTTCAGTGTAGATTGTTGGTGTGTTAAGCAAACTTCCTTGCAAATCAAGGCCTGAGCAGTTTTTTCCCCACCACACGCAGACCTCCAAGCTTCTGATCTATGCTGCCCGTTGCCATAATCAACATAGAAATCAAATATGACTATAACAGGGATAAACTTTGGAACATACAGTTTCCAAGCAACTTTCGAATACAGCACCATTTGGGAATTACGTAAAGAAAATATATGCCTCTCAAAGTTTTGATGCTTTGCTCAATTAATCGAGCTGGAATGAAACAGTAACATAAGTAAGTAAGAACTAATTATCTCGCTTTTTGGCAGGAAGGCTTCACTGAGACCTCGGTTTCACACTCTTAATTACCAGATACGTGCAGGTTGCCTTTTAGAGCGCAGCTCTTAGGCGGCCGTTTCCGGCTTGAGCGCCGTCGTCGTCGGCGTAACCGCGCTTTGCATTACCGGACGTTTCTTATAAGGACGTCACACGTGACGTCACGTGTGACGTCACGATGGTCATGAGGGTCACTTGTGAAGGTGACGACCTTCACGAGTGACGTCACGAGGGTCACAAGTGACGTCAAGAGGGAGGAGGGAGGGAGGGGGAGAGAGTGAAACAGATCGAGGAGGAAGAAAGGAGGAAGAGAAGAGGAGGCGAGGGGGAGGGGAGGAGGAGGGGAGGTACGGAGGAGAAGTATACCCTCCTCTCCACACCTTCCCCTCCTCAAGAGCTGCGCTCTAATTCGGCATTGCTGGGAATTTTAGACGTCTTTCTTTTTTTTAGGCTCTACAGATTTGTTTTTAAAAGAAGCCGTGAAGGATACACTAATGTGGTTTGTGCATGTGAGTTATACAGCCAGGGAACATAATATAGAGGGCCGATCGTCACGATAAATCAAATGATCATCTAAAATTTGTTGATTAACTTCCTAATTAGTACAATAGACACATGGTTCCAATTGCAACTTGCTGGGCGTCATCGAATACTACTAAATCAGTAATGTTTAGGAAGACTGAGCGCGTGGGAAGTGCAGCAAGGCGCGAAAGTTACCACTCGCGCATGAGGCGAACAACAGGGGTGGGAAAAAGGAAACAAGAGAGGGAAAACTTCGCGGGTGAGTTATCGCACCTGTAGACTTGTTCCTTCCGTACGAGTGGTAACTTTAGCGCTACACCGTGCTTCCCACGTGCTGCAAGTACTTCTAATATTTTTTGATTTAGTGGTTTTGAATGATGCTCAGCACGTTTTTAATGAGGACCATATGTTTGTTTTCAACAACTAAAACGTTGACTAACATAGGTTTGTTAATTAGTCGAAGCATTGTTACGGTTAGCCCCATTGCCATGTCCCCCTGGCCATAAAAACTCACCTGCACAAACCGCATTAATGTACCTTTCACAACTTTTTAAAACAAATCTGTCCAGCATAAAAAAAAAAAAAAACAAGGATAGCGCACTGGCCGACGAGAGGAAAATTTCTTCTGGCCGCCTAAATCATTAAGCACCGCAATAAACTGAAAAAAAAAAAAATACGCGCAAAAAGTAAAATAAAAAACAACATAACATCGTACCTTGATGTGCTCCTCCATCGACTTTCTTCCAAATCCAAGGTCCCGTAGCACGTGCAGGCAGAAGCGACGGTTGTCTTGCCAAAGTTTTCCGTTCAGGGTTCCTACACCTTAGGGTAGGAGGAGGGGTTCATTGTTAGAAAACGGAAGCAAGCGCCACTACCACGGACGCTACCACAGCCATCTGATAGGTTCATGAAACCTGATATCAATCTGGCTCCAATATTGCAATGAACACCACTTTGAAATGTGATCTAGGTCATCTTCACTATAAATATACGACAAAGAGAGAAAGAGAGAGAGGGGGGGGCGATAAAAGACATTAAAATGGGCAAATTTTCCCACATCCTTCCAGATTTAGTCACCTGAGCGAAAAATATCAACTGATCGGACTCTGGATGCAGACCACGTTCCGCAGTCTAGCATACCAAGATGGCAGGGCGTTTAAGACGATTATTGTAACGATCGTATGGCATGTTATAGCTAAGCGAGTTGAACATTGCGGGCTTTGGTCAATCCAGTGCCAGCCTCGTACCATATGACCTTGAGCTTGGTGCATCGCTCCGCCAGATTGCAAGATGCGAGTAACTTCATTCGGTCCAAAGCTTCGCGTCGGAGAATTGTCAGAGGTAACTCGCGAATGCTTTCCGCGGTACCTCGCTTTAGAGCGTACGGGAGTTCCAACGGATAAACCTTTGCAACGCCTATCTCTCAGGTCCAGTGCCATTTACTAGGCACTGGACCGACACACGATGAAAGACATTTCGCAGAGCATGCCTATTGCGCATGCTCCAAACTCCTTTCACAACCCGCTAAAAAACATGACAGCACTCAAAGGCCGATTTTTAAATGTTTTATATGAGCTCTACCTACGCAGCAGTACTTACTACACGTACCTTATAAAAGTCACGGGTCTTTCGTAAGTACCACTCGCAGTGTCTAATTGCACTGTGCGTGAGGTGAGCACGAGATAAAAATGCCATGTGCTGCACTCAGAACAAAAGAAGTCTCCTCCTCAACATTTGCGCTCGGCACGGATACAGAGCAAAAAAGCGTAGGGCATAAGCCCTTTGTATTTTTCAGTCATTTTATGTTAAGTGAGAAAGAGACTACTTATATTGTGATGCACAAATGCCTTGGAAGGTCCAGATTTTTACTTTAGAACCAAATTTATATATTGCACTTTTACGAAACACGTGGCGTGGCCAGAACTTGATAGAACTATTGATCCACGGAAAGGGATAAAGAAAACAGCGGACATAAATGGCGTTCTTCAGAGCTATTCGGGCGTAATAAAAATTATAGGAATACGCAAATAAACTGAGCACTTTCCTAATTTTTCTTTAAGTAATGCATTTATCCTACTCAAAATTCTGGAGTGTAGGTTTCTGGTAAACTGCGAGAAAATAGAAACTTTGGTTTTATATGCGCGGGAGGAAAACAGAAGCAAACCGTTGGGTCGACGCTGCTACTCGTGCGTGGCACAACACGCTTGGATCTTCTGGACCTGCTTTAGGGTTTTCATATCTAAGAAGCTTTCAAGGATTTGTACTATGTGGTAGCAGCGTCAACCCGACGGCTTGCTTCTGTTTTCCTATCGTGCATAGGAGACAAACCAAACAGACGTGTTTTAAAGTGTGGAATGGTTTTCAATGTTACCATCCAATTCCAAAATTTTGTCCGTCTGTCCGTCCATCAGTCCGTGCATTTTCTGCTAAATTTAACGGGAAAAAGTAACGTCACTTGTCGTCACGTGACCTATACACTTCGAGAAAAATGACGTCACGTAACCTATACATCAATTGAGTTACACTCTAAATTTAGTGGGAAAATTCACGTCTTGTAGCCTTGACACCAATCCAGCTTTCCCGCTAAATTTATCGGGGTCACGTGATGTGAGCTGACCTGATCCCGTGACCTACAAAACCATTCAGTTCCCCCTCAATTCAACTAAAAATATACGTCACGTGACATATTATTCTCTTACCCGATCCCTCTCCTTTCTCCTTTTCCCCATTCCTCTTCTCCCTCCCCCTTCCCATCCCTCTTCCCTCCTAGCGACACCTCATAGATAACCCTAAGTGATGTTGATCCCAAAGTGCCCTCCTCATCCCTCTCCCCCTCCCTCGCCGCCTACCTCCAATTCCTTGTTTCCTCCTTCCTTCTCTCCTCTTTCCTCATCATCCATCCCCCCCCCCCCTCCTTTTTCCGTGGAGTCCTCCCTGTCCTCCTCGTTGCTCATGTGACACAGCAATAGAGTTTCCCCACTAAATTTAGAGGGGAAATATACTTCGTGTCACACCAATCTTCTCGCAAAAATGAAATGCACTTCATGCATTATAGGACTTTCAACGTAAAGGTAGCTGCCGATTCTTATTTTCTTGAATTTATTCCCAGTGATCTACACTTAAGAAACTTGAGAGTAATAAATGCACCACCTAAAGATATTTTCGTGAAAAGTTGAATTACACTTAGTTTATTGGCTTATTCACACGATTTTTATACGCCCTAACAGCACTCGAAAACACCCTTTACATAATATATTAACTCGATTGCAAGAAGTTCATATATAACATGACCTTGTCTGCGGTCGTTTAATTGGGCATTGATTTAGTCCTTTACTTTCTATAAATACCCGTGTCGTATTTTACTTCCGCCATATTCGTGCGTGCGGCACGAACCGAATATCTGAAATCTTTGAAGTGGGAAGCCTTCCAGCAGAGCATCTTGTTGCTTTTGGAAATATTGTTCTAAACATTAAATTAAATATTACAGTTGAAGAATGAATACCTTATACAATTCAGCTCATCTGAGCTCCAGCGATTTTTTCTATCGCTATGACTTGCACTTATTCGACTTTTCCTTTATGAAATTTCAAGAGAAGAAACACAATGTATCATTGTTGATAGTTGACTCGACAGCTATATGCCACATGGAATCAGGTCAATATTTCCCCTTCCGTACTGTGATCTTGATAGCTTAAAAAAAAAAAAACAGTCCTAATGTCCTTTAAATGTTAATCACAGAAAGAAAACGGTTAAAGTGAAGGTAGTTACCTAATTTTTTGCGCGGTTTAATATTAACGCAGTTCTAAGGTGAGCACCCTGAAAATTGTTCTCAGTACATTTTGCGTGAGTGGAACAAAAAAGCCGAAATGACAGACAATTTTACTCCACCGAAACACCAGATTGACAAGAATATATTGCCCCAACAAGTTGTTTCCGGGTTCAATGTTCATAACAACTGTTGGGTTTGCTCGCTGAATCTAACGATAGTTTAAATAACGCGAAACTTCAAAATGTTTGATATGAAGCACCACATACCAGTCATCCCAAGTACGTTAAAGATCACGTTCTCGCTGCGATTAAGAACCTCATTTTTGCACAGGACTTCCTTGATGGAATCAAAGTCGTTGAGCACCACAACGTACGTAGCACCTATCTTGATTCTGGTTGAGATAAGAAAATATGTTCACTGATTACATATAAGGAGCAGCACGGCAGAAAAATTTATAAACCCTCACTCTAAGAAATAGGGGGTGCAATACGTACACCGCTTGTCCCCTCACACTACAATTCAACGATACTAACTTTCACGAGCGGCTTGATAGTCAAGTGATAAAACTCATTAAACAAACTAATGTACGTATTAAATACTATAGGAAAGCACATAAAGTTTCGCTAACCGTGCTGCAAAACATGCCTTTTTATTTTGTCTGTGATACGCACATTAGATATTTAGTAAGTTATATCACACAGATATCAAGCGGCTCCAAGAAGTTTGTATGGTATCGTCAGTTCGACGCCAGTGTACTGGACGTCGAAATGTAGTTTTGGGGTGTTAAATATGGGACAAGGGGTGGAAGTACTTCACCCCTATTTTTGAGCCAGTACTTGGACCAGGTTTACTTGATATTAAGCCCAGTTTGAGGTTTGCTACTAACTGGCAGCACTTTGGTAAGTTATGGCCAATGCGCTGCCGTAAACGTTCTTCATGTTGATGTGCCATTTAATATTGACACAAGGAAAATTCAAGAGTGGTGCGGCAACTTTAAATTTATCTTGACACCGCAGTGTATTATTTTCTATTTTGTTTACAGGAGGAAAAAAAAAAGAAAAGAAAAGAAGAAACAAGGAAGCGAAGTGTCAGCCTTTTAGACGGGTGAGTTTCATATTCAGGTGAGAGAAGGTACTCAAGAGGAAGTGGTGAGGAAAAAAACGGATAAGGCGAACCAGGACAGAAATGAGACAGCAGAGCGAGGATCGGAGGCTGTTTGTGTTAACGCAGGGCAGCTTGATCCGTGTGGAGCGAAAGCTCGCGCTGCAGAAACCGACCCTTCTGGGATAAATTCCCCACCTCTGCCCGTTTCAATCTGGATGAGTATCGTAACGGCGCGCGGCCGTGTACGGATATTGCGTGGTGCACGTTGAAGAGCCTAAAACTAGCGGTTTTGGGCGCCGTGCAGCTAAGACACCGGAAGCCCATCAAAGTTGGTCTATATTCCACCTGTCTTGACGATTTCCACAGACAACACAATTATATTTAGAGTGGAGGATTGCATCTGAATGAGTAGTGAAGTGAAGCCGGTCTCCAACTCGATAATCGACACGCTATTCTCATACAGCGTGACGCTATGCGCACACGTAACTATAAGGAAACTGCGAGTGTGCCCAATTGGAAATACTCGTAATCACCGAAGGACATCAGAGACAAGCACTAACACGGCATTTTATTCCAGACCGACGAGGGGTGCACCGACACACAAACAGGAGCACTGCATGTCAGCTGTGAAGAAGACCGTTTATGACAAGGAGTTTCTCTGACAGAAAACCTTGCTCAGTACAATAGGATCGGGCGTACAACCGGTGCGGGGACTTTGCGGGCCAGTGCGTTCGGCACGACGCTAGCAGTTACAAATTATCGAGGTGAACAGATCTAGATTCTGAGACTGGCCGTCACCAAATCTTGTATAATAGAAATATAAGTGCTTTTCCTAAAAAGAAAAAAAAATGAAGGTTGCTGAGGATTAGATTTTGTTTTCTTTCTTTTTTTTAAATTTGGGGCAATCATGGATTGTGGAAGGACTTACTAAGGATTCTCACAGCTCCTAAAATAATTCTTCCTTTATCAGTAAAAATATGTAGTTTTTAGAATGTCTACCGTAGAAAAGTATCTAAATTAATATCAAATCTCTTGCAAAAGAAGTTTCAAAATGCACCATCTTCGTGGTTATCTCATTGGGCTTGCATTTTGCAAGCAATCATAGTCACCATCGGAGTAAACGGGCAGATGGCTAGCAACTACTGGAAAACGTCGTCGTTCTTGTTTTTTTTTTTTTAGAATTGTTGCAGTATTTTTTTAGTTTAAATGTCCGTATGCATATAAAAGATTCGTAAGTGTTTTTGCACTTTCGTTTGCCTTACTCCCAAAGACTTGCTGTAGAGCGCTCGGTGTTCGTCCCGCCCGTTAACATCGAGTGGATAATCCCGGAGTCAGGCGATCTTGCGTCCTTGGATAACATGTGCATCCACCTTTTTTTATTCGCTTCGGTCGAGCGCCTTTCTCTTTTTATATTTCAAAATTTCTATTACATCTCGAGCTTGAATTCTAGGGACTTATAGGTGTAGAGGTAAAAGCTACTTCATGGCCAGCATCATTAGCTGCTAGTCGTGCACCTATTACAGCTAAACAAACAGCCACTGCTTATTGTAGGGAGTTTCCGACGCGGGAAAGAACACGTGCAAAGGTACGTGCGTGTGCGTCTGTGTAATGATGTATATAGACTTGAACTAGGTAAGTGGAAACGGCCAAGCGACGACTGGAAGACACCGGTGGCACTACCCCGACGCAGAGTTGAACCTGGGGCGCTAAACTCGTCGAACACAAAGTTGGGACCAAAGTTCACGAAGCGCGCCAATTGGACTATCACGACGATGACTTCGCGCTTTTGCCACCAGCGTCCAATCAGCGCGCTCCGCGAGCTCTCGGCCCTAACTTTGCCACTACGGGTGAAACTAGCAGCGAAAGATATCATGCGGAAGGGAGTTCGGTAAACACTGTTACCGTGACTAGCCATCTTTTTTCTCTGCAGTTTAGGCTACTTCGATGTCACCGCCTTACTGTTCGCAGCGACCTAACCACCCTTGTATTGTCTCGGCCTGTATTATCTGGCCGGCTGGTTCTTGAGTCGGTCAAACCATTTTTTAGATATCGGAAACGACGAAATTTTTTGAGGATACCTAAACACTTCTTAAGAGTTGTGAATGCGAAAGAAAGCTTTCCTGGCTCGCTGGTGACTGCTGCGCCGCTGGGTGAGGCAGCGGCGGGATTGCGAAGCTCGGCGCGGCGCGTGCTGAAATCACGTGTCCTCTCATTATCATCATCACCCTAGCTGCGGGTACCGGCTGACGACATTAGACATCAAAGCGTAACGTTAGGCCAACGTTAGGCGTAATGTAAGGACTAACGTTAGGCCTAACGGCAGGCCAGCGCATACCCGTGTTTCCCCCTCACGTCAAACAGCTGCGGGTACCGGTTGACGACGTTTGACCTCAAAGCGTAAGGCCTAACGTAAAGCCTAACGTCAGGCCCGCGCATACCCGTGGCCCCCCTCTCCCGCTGCGCCGCCAGGGCTATGGCTGGCTCCTTAGCAATAGTGTTCCTCGATATGCTCCCCCAAAGGGGGAGCAGAGTTGCGCATTTGTTTTCCCCGCGGCGCCACGCCGCTATTCGCCGAGATCCATCACGTGAGGAGCAAAGCATCCGGCGCCATGTAGAAAAGCCACCTTTACGGTCGCTCCGCCGACGTTTTTCGCGCCCCGGCGCATGTTCCCCTGCTTTCCGCCTCCTTTTCCTCCTCTCCTGGTTTCCATGCGCGGTGGCGCGCGCGGCGCCGCTATTCGCCAAATTTAGTCACGTGAGGAGCAAAGCATCCAGGGCGTGCGGTAAAGCCGGCGCTACGGCCACCCGCCGAGGTTGAATGCGCAACTCTGCTACCGTAGGTAGCTATATACAGGAACTCTACTTAGCAACGATGACGCCGTGACTGTGGAGCCACATGACGCGTTGGAGCCATTAGGAATTTAAGACCCGTCTCGCTCAGGGGAATTCAGGTGCAGTTTTTCGCTGCTAGAGACAGAATTTAGGCGCCGTTTCGCCCAGTCAATGGGAACTAAGGTGCCGCTTATTGCTACTATAGACAACCATAACGCCGGCCACACTCAGATAACGCCGGTTCGCTCCATAAGACATTTGATGCTTTCGCAATAAAAGTTATAACTAAAAACGCGCCCGGTAGCACCCCGAGCGTAGCAACGACGCGCATTTCTCCAGCATTTTCAGCTGAGTCTGGTTGCCGGTCACTGAAATCTGGTCCGCACGCTATATCTCTTGTTGCTAGTTCGACATCTCGCATCGAGGCAGCGTGACCGATATCTAACGTTTGTAATATAATTGTACTATCGCGGACAATATGCGCTTGAACAGTCCACGATTCTTCAGTGTATACATACCTTGCCAGTTTTTTGAGAGAGCTGTTGATTGCGTAGTTGAGGTCTGATACTTCGGACTATGACAAATAGACCAATCTCACAAAGCTCCCGGCGCATGCGTGACGACGCCATAGTTATAGTTCTAAAGCCCATGTCCAACTAGAGCGACATACAGAAACAAAAGACAACGACAAGCCTCAAACCAGAGTCTTTCGCGATTTGAGAGGCTTTGTAGAATAAAGGAGGCTATGCTCAAACACGAGCATCATGCACGCGAGGGTGAGTTTGGCAGGCTTGCAATCGCTCGTGCATACTTCACGGGCACCGAATGACTAAACGCCTGCCAAAGGTACCATCGCGAGCATGCTGCATCGGTTTGAGGCTTTTCGCTGTCTTTGGTCTCTGTCTGTCGCTCTAGTGGGACACGGGTATAAGGGGATAGGCGGCAGTGCATTGGGCAGCTCGTGCCATGTCGTGCCCTGCTCGCGCATACCCGCAGCGTGGTTGTCGCTCGAGCAGGAAAAACCACTTCCCACGAAGCACGCCGGCAGCGGCGGCGTAACGAAATTGGCGGGTGAGATGGGCCTTTTGAGAGGTAAGAAAGCCTAAGGGGATTGCAGACGCAGAAAGATTCCGAGTCGAATGTTTTCGCTCATATTGTCCGCGGAGGTACAGCCAGTCAAGAAGTTGACCAGGCCGCGCGAGTGGGCGTTTTTCTCTGTGGAGTGATTGGCCGGTGGCTTGTGCTCATAGTGCTCACGTCACGAGTTGGCCCACGCGTACCGCTCACAAGGAGCGCACGCCGCAAACAAACTGCAGTTATTATCTATGCCTCGGTCACAGTTGTCTGCGTGAAAGAACGGATGGGATTCCGGAAAAGGCAACGCTGCGATAACTGGTGGGAAGGTCAGTTGGGAAGAAGGATTGAAAACAAGCCGCATTTTTTACAGAGAATTGCAGCATTATGCTTTTATTCGCTCCCTGTTGATTCCTTTTTATGAGTGTTTACTATCCATGACATTGCGAACCCTCCCATCCTTTCACTCAGACAACCGTGACCCTAGGTACAGAAGTAAAAAGTCACTAGATCTCGGGAAAGTGACACCATCGCCTTTACCCTGTACGTGACCCCTACGCTGTTAGAATTTGCGAATTCTATAGGCACTGTGAGCTACTTAAAGTATTTTGAACGCTTCGACAAAAACAAGTCGAAGTGTGGACGTAAGAGATGTGGACGTATTCTTTGAGACAAAACAATTTTTATCACCTCCTGAGAATTCCTGAGAGGGCTCCGAAGGCTTCACGCATTGCAGTGAAGCATACTACATCTTGTATTCCCATAATAAAGTCCGAAGAAGTTGAAGGTGGTTGATAAAAGTTTAAAGAGACTTCCTAGAAATCTCGGAGGCTGAGGCTTCAGGGACATAGCTTCTTTGCAAATGTTTCTTAAAGAAATGTCCGCTTCCCTTCTTTAGGCTTCTTGAAGGTTCGTTCTTTTGTCAAATGTACCATCCTATTAGCTATATTTCGTAGAAAAATAAGCAAGATAGTTTTTTTCTTACATAATTACGTTAACAAAAACGAACAACAATCACATTGGCCCACTCACTTGATTACTGCTCCATATGTCGTGGACCATTTTCGGAACTGGTTGTGGCTGAACTCCATGGTGACGAAGGGCACGTGCCCCACTAAGGGAAGGCCCCTGGGGCCCGGCGGCAGTTTGAAGCCTGGTGGAGCGATGTCCCTTTTGGACCAGTGTAGAATGAGGAAAATGACGGTAACCGCGGCCGCCAGTGTATACGCCTGCGTTTCCCATTCCATGGAAGCCTCCTGGTACCCGTTGAAAAGAACAGGAAAGAAAAGCTATTATGTGAATGAGCCCGTACGCAGAACCTCATACCTAGCTTCCGACATGCCCGAAAAAGCAATGTTCATATTGGATCGCCGCAGTAATTTTTAAAGATTCAGGTTAACACCCGGTGGTTCAGACTCGAACGAAAGAAACGCGAACGACGGAGGGGCAGGCCTCTCGAGCTTTTCGGTCGGTGAATGGTCGTCACCGGAAGCTCTCGCGGAGTTCGTAATGCGCTTCAAGAGTTTTGACGGTTCCAAGTGTTTAAAAAAAAGAAACAAAATCGCGCCGATTTTTTTACAGCGGTGCTATTAAGGGCTAGTGTCCCCAGGGTCGTGTCCGCCAGCAAATGAATGTCGACAGAACACTCCGGACAGCTACCGCCATCTATTAGTGACGGCGGCAACCTTTCTAGCCTTTCCACTCTGGCTTGCCCACTTGCGGCAGGCCATTACTTTATTCCCACTATAGTACAGCTACGCTGGTCTTCCTTCCTCACCAATATAAAAATACCGTTTTTTTTTTGTTTTTTTTTTTTCAGTTTAGCACAACACGAGACGCTAATCGTCGATTTTTTGCCACGTTGACAATGCGGCAAAAGTGTTTCGAATGCCCATGATAACACACAAAAAATATTTATTGCTAGTCGCGCAGTTATTTGCAAATTGTGATGTTATTGTAAGGATGATCTTTTTTTTTTGCGACATCACTGGGTGTTTCTGGGCATTCTAAACGCTCATGTGGCATTCTAAACTCCACGATATGCGCCGAATGTGGTGAAAGACTGAAGCAATTATATCCGCGAATTTCATCTACTGAAAGAACCTGAACTTGGCACCATCACGACTCTCGAAGTTCATTACAGGCAGCACGAGAACTTCCGTTGACGACCGTTGAGTGACGAGAAGACGGCGAGAGGCTGTCGCTCTGACGTTCGCGTTTTTGTTTTTTGTTTGTTGTTCAGGGGCTATTCTCCTGTCTTCCGTCATTATTCTATTTTTATGTTGAGTGCAATGACGTAGAATATAAGATATCGACATATCATCATTAGCATCATCATCCTCACCATTTATTTTCCTTGAAGACCCAAAAGAGTATTATACAAAATAACAATCAACGCAACTTGAACAAACGCTAAAACACTGATATCCAAATAGGAGGGTTAGAGAGGAAGAGGGTAGTGGCAGCTGCAAATATGGTAGTGCTATTTATGAACACAATGTGGTCAGGTAGTGCGTTCAACTCTTTTATGGCCAAGGGTAATGTAACCATTTGATAAGAGATGGTGGACGACGATATTTCACGTAATTTTCAATGGTCGAGAGGGTGGAGTGTTCGGTGAGCGAGTGATAGCAAATATCCTTTGAGATTCTTGTTGTGAATATTCGATGAGGAAGAGAGGCGGGACTCTCTCCGGCGGAGAGAAATTGTTTTCAAGCAAGCTGACCGACGTCATCTTGATATGCTAGTGTATAGAGTGGTCAGAATAAATGAAACGAAGGGATCTATATCGAACGGCTCCTAGGGTGTTATAATACTGAAGTATGATTGACATGGAGATCATAATCAGAAAGCCTATTCTAGTTTTGATCTTGCCAATGTAGTGTGGGTTTGTTGTTTTACTGAAGGTGTCGCAAGTGTGAGATTACGGCGTAAACGTTCGAGCGTACGGTTAGCATTAACAACGACCGAGGTTATGTGAGTAATCAATGATAGATCATAAGCAAGATGGATTCGTAAATATTCGTATGATGAACTAGGCGTCACTGGGGTTATAGCAAGGTAATACGAAAATGTTGCAACGAGAGAACGGCGTGAAAATAGATCGTTTCACATTTATTAAAATTTATAGCCGTTTGCCATTTTTGACACCACTGAGGTATTTAGTGTGAGATTGTTCTGTAAAGTTAGTTGATCCTTATTTTGAATTAACAGGCTTGTAAACTACACAGCCATCGGCGAATACGCGCACTGAAGAAGAGATGTTAGAATGCAGGTAATTAACGTAGATTAGAAAGAAAACAGGGCCAAGCACCGTCCCCTGAAGGACGAGACGTTGTCTTACAGGTCTGTGATTTCACGTTGTTAATAGATTTCACGTTGTTTATCAGGAATTGAGAGAACCAGATGAACAAAGTAGAGAGCTGGGCTAGTTGGTGGTGTAGGTGTAGGAGCGCGTAACAACAAAGACTAAGGGAAGATACACACAACACAGGACGAGCGCGGACTCGCAACTAAATGTTTAATAGTGAAAACAGAAACCAGGAAAACATAAAAGGCACACTCAACCACGCATGCGCCACCCAAATTTTCTCGTCACAAAAGGGATTTATCGATCAGCGTATCACTACCCCCACCCTTCCCCCTCCCCCCCTTCCTCCATTCATAGTTAAAAAGAAAAGAGCATTTCTTTTTCCGATAGCGCCACCGATGGGTTGCTGACACATTCCCTCCGTAATTAACAATGCGGAAGACTTCTGCCACTTAGTTGCAAGTCAGCGCTCGACGTGTGTTATGTGTTCCGTCTCTTAGTGTTCGTTGTTACGCGCTTTTACACCTACACCATGCTAAAGACCAGTTGACAACAGAGGGGTGTATATTAAGATTTCTAAGCTTCAGTCAAAAACATTGATGAGGAACCTTGTCGAATGCGTCTAAAAAGTCTATGAAAATAGCGTCCGTTTGAACATAGGAATCGAAGCCTGAGTGAATGTCGGAGAGAAATGCTCGTAATTGGGTTTCACAGGAGTATAACTTATGAAATCTATGCTTATGTTCTAAAAGGAGGTGGTGTGAGTCTAGATAGTTTACCATGTCAGCGTATATTATATACTGCAAAAGTTTAGACTGGTCACCAAAAAGAGAAATGGGGCGGTAATTACTGATCAGCTAGCGGTCACCTGTCTTGTGAACGGGGAGTACATTTGTAGTTTTCCAATAATATGGTGTTTCAGAAAATCTGAGCGACTGGGAGAATGTGATGGATCGAAATATGGAGATCTTTTTGTGTTTAATAATACAATCGAGTCAATTTGGTCATTTCAGGAACTAGATGACACCTTCAGTTGGTCGATGGACTTCGGAATACCAGCATGATTAATTAGGATAGGATTCATATGAGGGTGAGAAAATTTGCCATGAGTCAGGAATGTTAAACACCGTAGGTGAGACGACTAAAATTACTGCTAAGACAGAGTAACTGGCGCACCGTGTTTTCGGATAAATCTAGCTGATAAATCCAAAAAACACAAGCCGGCAAGGTTTTTGACAGTTCAGATTTATAATAAAAGCTGCACCTTCGAAACAACATTATTTAAAAAAAAAAAAAAAAAAAAAAAAACAGACACTATTTTACGAATCAATTTTGTCCGAGCACAGGGTTAGCGGTCCTGAAAAAAAGGAAAAGTATTTTTTTTATCTTGGTCTAACTTGGTTGTGACGCCGTACTTTTGGATCAAGGCTAAAACCACTCTTCCGGTTTCCAGTTTGGACCACACTATGTGTGCTAATTAGAGAGAAACCGGGGTGTGTCTCTATTACAGTGGAAGACGTGAGTGAGCCTGTAGATTTCACAAGATGGGGAGGGCTGCTTAAGATTTTATACATCCACGTGTTTGGCTATTGAAAAGTACTGACGTTTATTGAAGTAACACATGTTTTAAAGATTTGTTGTACGACATTAGTACTTTCAATCGCAAGGGGATCAAATTGCCCAATGCAGTGGCAGAAAGATATTTGGATACCGGTTATTTTTTACGCACGGTTTTGTCCGGAAATTATTAATTTTACTTAAGAAAAGAAGCAAAGTAAAATAAACTCACAACATCATAATGAAAAACACCCTAGTAAACCCCGATTTTACAACCAAAATAAAGTCCAAAAAACACCCTCCGAATTAAAAAAAAAAAAAAAAAACTCCTTAAACACGAGATCTCAGATATAACATGGCGGTTCCGGTTGGTCACGCGTGAAGGTGTATTGTACAGTGCTTGTCACACTTGTCTACAACGCGGGAGCACTCGGCTTTTCCCGGCGAGCGCTTGACTGGTGTCATACGCGGCAACTAATCTGGTCACGGCATGGCATCCGAGATCCCGGAGGCCATGGTCACAGGGTTAACATGGAACGGTCCGCTCCTGGGGTGCCCTGCCCACTGCCGCTGAATGCGTAGAAGGCTTCTCGCGTGCCTTTCGGAAACTCCAGATAGCCATGGCAACGAAAAAAAAAAAGAGCACGAGACTAGTTTATCAACAACGTCGCGGAATCAAGGAAATAAACAGGTGGGGGAGGAAAGCGAGCTTTAGATACGCTCACGATAGTGCGCAGCAGATATGCGAACCCAAGTGGGCGCGAAACGTTCTGTGGTGCTCGACGGGGAGGTTAACAAGGACACTCTCCCTCAAGCGAACCATTCCATGTTGCCCACGTGACCAGATTAGTTGTCGCCAATGCCACCAGTCTAGCGATCGCCGGAAAAAAAAAAGCCACGTGCTCCCACGTTATTAGACGAATGAGATTAGCACTGTATATCTAAAAAAAAAAAATAGTCGACCGTGGCACGTGTTCTTCTCGTGTAATTATATTCAACTATTAAGGCAGCCGGTCTGGAATGGTTAGCGCATTTCCAGTGATGGTCGCCTTCTTTTTGAAAGCGCGATAATAGATTTACGGGTTCTGGTTCGGAAGGACAAACATAGGCTCGGTCGGTGTATTTTTGACCGCACTCGGCGAAATTTAGAAAAAAGCGCCCCCTTTGGCCAAACAAGCTTCATGCGTGTTTAAGAGAATTGCATAGCAGGGAAACAGCAGCTCATATTATTTACCCAGTTAACCTATGTAGCTCTAAACTGGCAATTTATTGTAAAACAAAAAAAGTTACGCCATTAATTTAATGTTTTGTTTGCTCTTGTGACTTCCATTTGAGACCACACAAATACACCAGTGAGAGCAGGAAACATTCACGACAAACGCCAACTTCTTGTAGCAAAAAAAAAAAAAAAAAAAAAAAAAAAATAAAGCAATGAAGTTTCTTGATAATTGAAGGGGAGAAAATATTTATGACAGCATGACAATTTTATTCTTGTAAGAAAACCCGTAAAATGTATTTAATCCGTCATTACGTATCCTGTTCACGATGCCTTTATTCTGTAGATATTTATGAGAAACCAGCTGTTTTTATTATTTCTAAATACATTTGTGGTTGAACATTAAAATATTTTTATTATTTTCTTTATGCAACCAGACAGAAAAATTAGTTTATTGAAAGGTGAAGAGGTTATCCCGCGGAAATTGGCAGGATGGCTATATAGCTATGCTAGCAGAATTCTTTATGAACCCAAGGGAGAGAATACAAACACGCATAACGGCTAATGACAATGAAAATGCCTAAGCGTGCAATGAAATCAATTTCTCGACAAATTACTACTATCGGGGAAAAATGAAATACGAACAGAGGAGCGCATGGCTCTCGATGCAGGCTGCGCCGTTTGGAAAGGAGCCTAGGGGCGAGGGTGTGTGGCCCTCTCCGATGTTTATACGCCCCTCGCTCGGCGCTTCCCAAGCTTCGGCATTGAGCCTCTTGGTGCGCTGAAAGCTGTCACCACTATCGTTACTCGCTCGACATCATGCGGGGCGAGGAAGCTCGCCGCTAGATACCGCTATTAGCAGCCTTCTTCGCCCCGCATGCGTCGAGTGAGCAATGATAGCGGTGATAGCTTTCAGCGCACCAAGAGGCTCAATGCCGAAGCTTGGAAAGTGCCGAGCGAGGGGCGTATAAACATCGGAGAGGGCCACACACCCTCGCCCCTAGGATCACTTCCAGGCGGCGCATACCGAAGAGCCACGCACTCTAGAGCCAGTGACAAAGGCGCCTTGTGCACATCCACTATTGGCTCTCCTCCCCCCCTCCCCCCTCCCCCCCTCCCCCCCCTCTCCCCCTCTCCCCCCCCCCCCCCCCCCCCCCAAACCTCCATTACAACGCCTACGCACACGCACATACCACGCGCTCCCCGGTTCGTATTTGATTTTTCCCGGTCCGTCGTTAAAAGTTCGTGATATCTTACTATATTGTTTTCTATCAAACAATGACACATGTTTCATAATTTTAATAGGAAATACACTTTTCTCAATAACAATCTTCCTGCCTTCCTTTTTCGGTAGGGTTTCTAAACGTAGTCTAAAACGTGCGAAAGAAAAAAGCCGGCAGGATAAGTGATTGTTTTCCCCTAGTCATTTCCATAACGAGTATTCTCGATCCAAATGGGAGTAATTGAAAACGAGAGCACATAAATTTCTACACCGCTTTAACAAGAACAAGGAGGGTCATGTTTTCAATTCAAATTTATCAAAAAATAAATAAATTACTATGTATTTTTACTTAAATATTTGAAGTTTATGAACCGTATTGATTGTCGTGTGTTTTCTTGTCGCTTTAATACATATCTGAAACATGAGATCATGAACGCCTTAAAAGCTGCCGTTTTGGTTTTGTTTGCTGTTCGAAACTAAACATATTTATGCATTATTTCATGATGTGAAACTCGGGTGTACTTTTACGCCAGAAAACTAGTTTATGTTTATTTACTGATGCCCACCAACAATAACACCCGCTTGGTGGTGCATCACAATACAGATGAATAACCACGCAGATACATCAAACTATACTAACATACACACAAAATACCAAACTAAAGAAAAACATAATACAAATTCACATATTCGATTATAGTTATCTAAGTTTTAAGATAGCTTATGGGCATGAACATGTCAATAGAAGGTGACGAAATACAATTACACTTCCATTTGGGTGGCAGGAGAAACCTGGAAACGCCCACCAACATAAGAAAAAAGTTTAATTGACCTCTAAAAGATAGAGAAAAACAGAAGCTTACGGTGGATAATAAACTTGAGCATGACCCTTTACCCTTTAGAAGTTTGTGCCAAAATTATAAATCCTGAGGATCCATTTTTTTAGGAAAGTCTGTCCATACATATATCTTACTCAGCAGCCAGTTGTAGTCATTACAATATTTCTTTCTGAGGTATCGGTCATAAATTAAACCCATAAATCGTCTCTGAATTCTTGATACGCTAAGATTTTTAAGACTAAAGTGAATTCCAGCAGTAGAAGCAAAAACCAATTTTCGGGCGGACAAAGCAATTATGCCGCACAAGCGCCGATGAGAGTATTTCGAACTGTCGCGTAATTCTTGACACAATGTCCATCCAAAACGCGGCGTCCCATAACACTTCAAGTCTCGTATGACAGATGTTCTCTTTCGGGCTCGTTGAATATGTAAGGATATGCATATACTATGTTTTCGACTAAATGTGATAACTTAAATTTTTTTTTCGGATGTAGTTTTATACAATTATTTGTGCATGACATATTGAGAGCATCGATATCAATCTGCATTTCCATGCCGTCACAGTATCCTTCAATCTTGAGTCGCAATTATAAGGTTATTAAAGCTGGCAACCTTCATGCAACTGTTTTTTCAGCTGTGCCGGGTCATTCATATTCCCTGTAGTATCACGCTAGATTCCTCGTTTCCTGTGTTAAGTTACGTATATACGTGAGGCAGTTTTCGCTAAACACCAAAAAGGAAGTCTTGACCACGCTTGACCTCATGGTGAAGGCAGTCGCCCATACCAGGCATTCACCCCTCCAGCCGGCGACTTTTCGGCGTGACTAGCTCGTAACGCTAGCCCATGAAAGCGCCGACCCCAGCAGTGCCAGCAGCTAGGTCCAGCTCCTTATGTTATTTATCTGCGGTGGAACAGGCGCCCGACGCGTATGCCCCTCGGCTATAGTGTCACCGTTAGGATCACGACAAACAGCAGCCCTACCTCGTTGTGAAATCAAGAAAGGCAGGAACTGATTGGACAAAACAAACACGGTAAACCAGTCCGTGACGCGTTCCACATACCGACGTATAGGCGTTATGATCTAGGCTGTGGACTCCCGAGATACAGAGGCGAAACGGAAAGCAAAAGCAACAACACATAAGAGCCACCACCGACACGCATTCACGCCCACACCAAAAAAATGTCCAGGAACTTTCTTTCGACTTCTTGGAAGAATAGGATTTGTCCAGGCAGGCGAAGCTACATAAATATAGCGCCCACTTACCGCGGCGACGTGAGCCGTCTCTTCTGGATCCATTTTGTTTTGTGCGTCTACTGATGCGTTGCGGCCCACCGCTGAACTTGGGACAGCTGCCAAACCTGCTCCAAGGTCGTTGACGCACTCGAGCCGGCAATATTTCCTGCGTCACGTGGTTCCGATGAGATTCGCCGAAGGGCCGAGCGCACTCTTTCACCGCCTTCTGTTTTCCTCGTCTAGACGCATGAAGGGCTGCGTCGGTTTGCCGATACGATTCAGAGTGCCGCCAGTGCTGCGCGTTATCCTCGTTCAGGCAGTCGAGAAGGGGGTTGTCGCCTTGCAGCTGTTCTGCACGCAGTAAGCAGAAAGACGGACTGCAAGAAGGAAGGCTGATTCGCCCTCATTCGTCCTCTACCTCGCTAGACAATGAGGCCAGCCAGTATCCAGAAGCACTACACACGCAAAAAAAAAAGAAGAAATATATACAAACGATGGTATAGCTCCGTTGTTAGGAAGCGGCAAATACCTCCTGACTGCGCACGTTTGGTGATCTGTCATTCTTATTTGTCACGTTCTTGTTTGTTCGGCGGATCTTGTCGTTGCCGGCTGTCACAGCAATATGCCTCGTCAATAAAAAATAAAAATAATCTCAGCTCACTAACTACGGGCACTATGTCGAGTAGGACAATTTGTGATAGTTCAATTTGGCACTGCGAAACGTCCAGTGGGCGCTGATTACGTAGACAAGTTTTACCTTAACCCTTGGGTGGCCTAAACTAACACTCTTCTGTATATCTAATTCTTTAAAGTAATTATGACTTTATTTGTGTAATTCTTCGCTTTATAGAGTCTACACTGACACCGTAGTTGTATTTGCTCATTGTCTATTCTAACATTGGTTTTATCTATTCTATCGTGGTGTGTGTATTCGTTTTTAAATTTGATATCATTTAAAAGCGGACCCAACTCTCTGTTGTGTCCGTCCTTCTGTTTGTAACCAATGAAGCGAAGCCGCAGGCGTCGGAGGGTAATGATAAAATGGATTAATGAAAATATTAATAAAATTTTGAACGTTCCCCAAGGAGAGTCGAGCGCAGGGCCCTAATATTCCGAGACCGACGCTCAACCGCTGTGCCGAGGGGGAAATTGTTATACTGGTGGTTATTAAATGCTGTAACATTCCTTTCGCCAACCGCAAGAGCAAGCGGACGGCTTCGACTTTTATGCATATATGTTGTCTAAGTCTGTGAATGAACCGATTTGTTTGATAGAGTAAGTGAAGGTCGACTGGTAGCGTCAGCCAGACTGTTTAAAGCAGCGTTTTTCCACACACGACAGGCACGGGCCTTTCTTTCATGAGCACCACCTCCTTCTTTCTAATAGTTAACTCCACGTACAAAAGAAGGCGGTCCACCGGCCATAGAGGTCATGGGGTTTGACAGTTGTAGGGTTTCAGATTTCCGACGTGGACGATGCCAGCACAGTTTCTACGGTTGTCACGTGGCGGGAGATCCGGGGTCCCTTCATAATTCGTGGATGCTAACTGGCGAAAGACTCTGAAAGAGCCTCTGAAGTTTTTTTACAACTTTTCGCATCTTTCCCATTCGCGGGAAAGAGTGCAGAGGAGACTTTCGTCACCAATTTTGTAAGGCAGTTGGGTGTGGTGCTCGGCGTGGAGAATCATTTGTGGCTACTGTGACTTCATGGACCGGATGCGGGACAGTTGCCGAGCTTCTTAGGCACGGTAGAGAGCATCTTGGGCATATGTTTCGAGAGAAGACTCGTGGATGTATGGTAAGAGGAAGTCAATGGTGGACAGCGGTTCTCACGTATATAAAATATAATACGCAGAACAGCCTGTGGTGGCCTGATGGCTGGTGTAATAGCCGCATGTAACGTAAGGCAAAATGAAGTCCCAGCTGACGTGCATTCTGCACCATACATGTAGATCTTGTTGGCTAGAGGTTTATTGAAGCGTCCAGCCAATCCATTTGTTTAGGGATGATAGGCAGTAGTAGCGTAGTAAACTACGCTGGCGAGGCGCAAGACCTCCCGAAGGAGGTTTGCAACAAATAGTGTACCTCCATCTTTGATGATGGACTGTGGTCCTGGAGCGCCATGTCTGTGGAGGATGGAGTGCAGATAGAAATTGGCTGCATGGAGGGCCGTGTCAGCAGGGAGCGCTTTGGTTTCGGCGTATCGTGCTAAGTGGATTTGTTTTTATGACTACTTTGGGCCCTAACTTGACGTGAAAACAAGAATTTAAATGGCACCGTCCGGCTTTAGGGCTGACATTTTTAATAGAACAAGAGACCAGGTACACTGTCGTTTCCGTTGCTCAATCCCCTCAAGAATTAACCAAGCTCAATATGTTTCTAAAAAAACAATCAGTTAATTTGACAGTTCCTGCTTTCCTGAAGATTTGTTTTACAACACTATGAGCAAAAACAAACACTTGTGTTTTAAATGGTGAAATATTTTTGACGCCTAAATTCTCGAGATCGTAGCTTTATCTTTGGCAGTTGCTCCTGCTGATCGAGTTTGCGCAACCGAGATGCATCCTTCAACGAATATCTCGCGCTTGGAGACTTGGTTGGAATCGTTTTACATAAAAAAAGCCGAGAAAGCAAGAAATAAAGCGAAACATAGGGCAAATGAACACAGATAAAATAAACTATGTGAATAGGAGAAAAGAGCAGAGCTACGTTTGAGCGAAAATGTATCGACGAGATGAAATCATTATGGCAGATGCCATGTCGTCCGCTCAAAACATAAGAGTCGGGACTCGTAACCGTTTGCCTGCGGGCCGTGTTCCAACGAGTCGCGGGCCGCATGTGGCCCGATGCCGCGTGTTTCAAACCCCTGCATGAAGGCGTCATTTCGGAGCAGATGGACCGAGTAACATACCGGACGAAAATTCCATGACGTTTTGGAACCAATGAGGCTGTATTATGTATAGAGTATTTCGTGAACCTGATAAGCAATTTTATTGGACACAAGCGAGGACCGCCTCGTGGTAATTGAAGAAAACTTCAAGAATCGCGAGCCCAAGTTTGAAATTCAGGGAAGGACGAAACTGCCTGTGTATGCATAAACCGCTCTTTGACGTTGGTGTGGCTACCTGAACCTCGTATACAATGTTATTGGACACAAACTAGCACAGCCTTCTGGTCCTTGAAGAACACTTCCAAAATCGCGCACCCAAGTATCAGGCAGGTCTTACTAATTTCAAGCCGTGGTTTCGCCGGCTTAACACCCACCTTAGGTTTCTCGGTTTCATCGCCCAAAAACATTTCTGACATAATTAGCAAAAATGCGTTTTTTATTGCTTCCATTGTTAGCAGTCTCACATTTATTTTTCTACCTGCTCTCGGTAGGAATGCAAGTACAGTAATTGACTTACCGTAATTCAATTACATTTTAGGTATTTTGTAATTGTAATTAATTACTTTCTTCCATAGGGAATTGTAATTGCAGTTTAATTTCTTTCGAGCGTCGGTGATTGCAACATTTTAGGCACAATTAAAATTACTTTTGCGAGATTTGACGGCGCTGACGGAACCTCTCTGAAAGCCTCAACCATAGCCTCCTCTATACCCACAAAGCCTGGCAGTTCGACGAGGGTGCCATAGAGTGCCCAGTCGCAGATTTGGAGCCCGAGAATCTGGTAGCAGAGAGCATTTCTCGGGGAACCTGGACGTCAGCGCACAGGTTTTGCAGCGGCAAAGACCCGAAACATGGTTTTGAACCCGACGAGAAAAGAAATGGTAGCGCGAGGTACACGAGGAGTACGGGCGGACATTCCATCGCTACGGAGAAGTGCGTTTCGGCGTCTCGCCGCAGCGGGGCGCCCGTCACGTGACTTTCCTCTCATCCGTTGTCCGCCATTCCACCTTTTCAATTTCGGCAGCCGCTTCTCGTGGTGATCTGCCAAGCTTTGTCATTACAGAGGAAACTATGCCTCAGCACTCGCACAAGCGGCCTAGCGCTCGGGACGCACATGCACACATAGACACGCACTCACACGTACGCACACCAAAAATAGCGTCTCGTTGATTGTTTTATTTTGTTGCTTACACTGCGGGCTAAGAAACAGTCATCTTTAGAGCCTACCTCAACGACGCTTTGTAGCGCCGTCAGCGATGCGAGCAGAAAACAATAGCGTAAACATGCCAAAATATTGAAAGAAAAAAATTGAGCCTCAGTTATCTGCCGAGGTTGAGAATTTTAAGTGTTTCCGTAGTTTCGTTTTGGTCGATTTTTTACGTCTTTCTTCCCAGACTGTCGCATATTTGAATTTTTGTTTCTTTTTTCAAGTTTATTTTCTGTTAATGTTGCTTCGGATATGATTCGCATAAGCAGTTTGGAGACTGACCTTGCACCTCTGAATGTTGTCACCGATGATTCGGGATCCCCGATTCGGTTCTGATATACTTATGAGCCATTATGAGTCCAACTCAATGTAAATAATTTACCATAACATGATTTTTCTATTCGGATGTGGTCGTATAAGCGTGTGGGGATTTTAGTTTTATCTAAAGACTTGTAAAATATTCATATATCACTAATTTTCCCATTTTGACTTGTCTGGCTAACAAAGTCTGTCAATCCAATATTTCCTTTAGCGATTTGCCGTCTTTCAGTTTATTTCAGTGTATGAACTAATTTATCATTATTTAATAAAAAATATAAGAACGTAGTACTTTATTTCCCGAAACTGTCAAGTTCTATCATGAATTTAGCATAATTCATAAAAAGAAAGTAGCACAATACGTGACATTTATGCAGCGATGCTTAAGCCTCCTCAAACATTGGGACAAGGAATGAAAAAAGACGTTGCATTCTATACAACTCGTTCAGAGTTATATAGCCCACGTCGGGTCGCTGTCAGAAATAAGTATTCGTAAAGTAATTGCATTACTTTCTAAAAGTAATTTGTAATTAATTATTTTTCGCGTAGAAGTAATTCTAATTGTAGTTTTGAAGCTTTTGGAGGAAAGTAATTGCATTCGTAATTAACTTCTGGAGCAAAGTAATTGCATTTGTAATTAATTTACATTTTGTAAGTAATTTACCCAAGTGTGTGTCAAATGTCACGTGACGTCAAGACATAACGTGACTTACGAGAATCGAACCCAGACCATTTAGAT